GGCCATGAAGGAAGGCAGTGGGAGAGGAGTTAGGAGACAAGAGCGGGTATGCCAGATAGGATGTATTGACCCTTGACCCAACAGTCACTATAGAAATGGTGGGCATACGAAGGAGGTGGTATATGTTATGTCTTAGAGAAGATTAAAGTTGCCAGATGGAACTAATGATTCTCAGTTAAGGTTTAATTTCTGAGAACAGCAAGAGACTATTTTATAGTATGATTATGTCCTGTACAATGTGAGAGATGAGACTCCATGTTCTCACTTCTCCCTGAGCGAGCCCCTTTCACTGAATGACTTTGACATCCCTAGGAGGAATACAAATTTCCCTTTGGTTTTGGTTCAGTCATGCGATTTTCTTTCCCCTATAAAGGATTTGCAGGCGTTCTATGATGGTCCTGGTAAGATGTTACAGTCAAGGTAAGACGTTATAGTCAAGTTGATACAACCTAGTGTCGCCTAGGATGGGAGAACCACAAATGAAGAATTGCCTTGATCAGAGTGACTTGTAGGCATGTCTGTGGATCATTTTCTTAAATGCTAGTTGATATACAAGGACCCAGGTCACTATGGCAGTAGATCCCTAGGCAGGTTGGTTTAGGCTGTACAAGAAATCTAACCAAACATGAACCAGAAGGAGAGCAAGCCAATAAGCAGCATTCCTCTGTGGTTTCTGCTTCAGTTCCTGCCCCAACTTCTTTCAATCATGAACTGTGACTTGGAAGTATAAGCTAAATAAACCCTTTCCTTCCCCAGGTTGATTCTGGCCATAATGTCTTCTTATTGCAACAACACGAAGGAAACATTGACTTAAGCTTTTGTAAGTGTCTGTACAATTGATCTTGTACTCTGTTGCTACATAACAATAAGAATATCCCTAGACTTTGTGGAATACTGAGAAGGCTGGAAAGCAAGGGAAACAGAGCTTGGCTGCCCATCCAAGCTGGGTCTAGCTTAGTTCATCTTTACATGACCAAGACTCTCAGAGATAAATCATAAAAGCTTACTGTTGTATGCTGGTGATTGTTTTGATATGACATTAGTACAGCAATGGGTAACTGATAGTTGTCTCAGTAAATGAGATCACCAAGAAAGTAGGTGTCCCCAGAAGTGGGGAAAAGACAAGGGATATACTCCCTTGGGGAAATGAGGAAGAACCAACAGGAGAGACTGAGACTTAGTGATCAACAAATAGAAAGGGAAAGCCAGGTGCATGCATCCTAGAAACCACTTTAAGTAGACGTTATCAATTATGTCCAATATTGTAGCTATGCCAGAGAAGAAGCTTCAACAGTGACCATTGGATTTAGCAGTGGAGGTCCTTGGTGATTTTGAAAAATACAGTTTTGTTGTTGTAGTAGGGAAAAATGGAAGAAAAATATCACAGAAGAAAACTGGAGAGTGCAATTGTTGGATGCTGAGGTGTTTTGAATGACAAATGTCTCATTGGCTCATGTATTTGATCACTTGCTCCCCAGTCAGTGGTGCTGTTTGGGGTGGGGTGGAGCCTTGATGGAGGAAGTGTGTCCTTATGGCTTTGAGGTTTTATAGCCTGGCTCTATACCCTGTGCCCTTTCCCTCTGATTGCTGACTATAGATAAAACATGATCGGCCATCTTCCTGCTGCCATTCCCATACCATGCATTCCCCACCATGATGGACTCTAACCTTCTGGAACCATGAGGCAGAATAAACTCTTTCTTCCTTTGGTAGCTTTGGGTCATAGCATTGTTATCACAGCAATGGAAAGCAAACCAAAACACTGCCTTTATGCCTCTTTTTATTTTTAAGTAAAGAACAAAATAAGATTGTGTCTGTGTGCTCAAGTCAGAAGTTCTTTAAAAGAACCCATGGAGGGCAGAGGGAGAATGTTCTTGTATCCCGGGGTAGATAAGAGAAATGGGATCTTGGCAGGAAACCACGTGGTTAAATGTAAATGTCAGAGGAGAAGGCAGGTGTGGTTGGGAAGTGAATAAATGAAGCAGGAAATTCCTTATGATCGTGTCAGGCAGGAAGAGGTCTTGACCTTTGAGGAGAAAAGCAGCTATGAAATAGCCAAGTAGGAGAACTAAGTGTGGATCTGGAAAATACTTTATAATTGGTGGGTAACTTCCCAGTTACGGTTTGTCACCATGAGTTTAAAATGAAATATCCTACGTTATACATTTTTATCTAGACATATTCGTCTGATTGGGGCAAATGCTTGTGCACAGAGAGTTTGGTTTCATGAAGGATGTATACATTCGAGCGTGTTTGGGAAAGGATGCCCAAGAGGATAGACTTGAATTTAAGGTGAGAAGAAGATAAGACAGAAGTGGGAGACAGTAAGGTACAGTAGGATCGATAAGTCCTGGCCGAGAGAGAGAAGAACTGGTCATCAAAGAGCAGTGGATATCACTGAAATCTCAGGAAGGCTGGGGTTGTTGGTAATAAGCCTGGGATACAATTACAGAATCAGTGGCTGAGCTAAGCTCGAGGATGGAAAGGCACTGGAGAAGGCCAGTTCGAGAAACTGGGACGCCTGGGAATCAGAAGGCATCAGCATGTATTACTGAAACAGTAAGAATGAAGAACAGAACAGAACATGGGTGTTGATGGGGTCAAGAGTCAGGGAGTACTAATGAACAACAGGACTGTGTTTGATGGGCTGATGACAGCAGAATCAGAATTGTAGATCTTAGAGATAAGGAAATAAAGGCCTGTGGGGGCATGGTGAGTGCAAACAGCCTCCAACCCATGCCCCCAGCCCAGTGGCACATGTCAGTTACATGGGCTTTCAGGAAGCTGCATCCTCAGGAAGAGCCAGGCTTCCATTACGTTAGGAAGGTGATGGAAATAAGAGCTAGACAGAGGAAGACAGACAAAGGGTTTTGCTAAAAGGAACCCATGAATTTCTGAGGGTGTGGAGGGAGGTAGTATGGGAATTTTTCAGAATTTATGACAATCTAGTGAAGCAGAAGAAGAGCAGCCCAGCCAGCAGAGAGGTGGCCCTATCCTCTGGGCAATGAGCAAATGAGGCTATCAGTGGAGAGGATTGGGAAGAGGGCGTGTCTGGACCCCTCTCGCTCCCCTCTGGTAAAAGCAGAAAGCCTGACCCAGACACTCATTGTATGGGCCCCTCCTCCTTCTAGTGCTCCCAGTAGGGAAAGATCTGTATGTTTGTGTGAAGTGGAGGGCTAAAGAGCCAACTGACAGGGTAATTTTCAAAAATTCAACAATCGTCTTCATATACTTTTCTCTTGTTCTGGGATCAAATGTATGACTACAAAAAAGAAAACCAGTTTTTCACTTGGTATCTTGGGGAACAACTAAATATATGGGAAAATGAAGAAGCTAAAATGTATGCACATACTAACGTATCCTGTGAATTATATACAACCTATGTACAATAAATGTCTATCATATACAACTCCTACCATGCACCTATAGTTTCTGGGTCAATTCCGTCCTGCACTCAAATGCAACAATTCCCCTGGTCCCAAACAAGATAAAGATGACCAAGTTTCCGTCAAACCCTTCTTAGTTGGTTAAACTTTCCTGATGAGATAAGACTCCACCCTGCCTGGCTAGAACATGACCGGTTCCAAACATGCTAACGCTCACTCAGTAGTTTTTCAGTGTCTTTGAGGCAAACTGTTGTGTCCTATGGCTAGGAAAGAGCTAGAAATCCCTATAGATGTCAGGGAAGTGAAGGGGTCTGGGTATTTCTCCGGAGTGGGAGAGTGGGGGGAGCTGGACTAGGACGAGGTAGACCGTCCAGCATTGCCTTCGCCAGCTTGTGTCACCTGGGGAAGGGGCACGACCTAAGAATTCACAGGCTGGACTCAAGGTCACCTCCACGGTCTTTGCCAGTTCTCAATGGTCTCTGGTTTCCAAGCAGACAAAAATAACTGTAGCTTTTCTCACATCCTTTAATCACTGCCATCATTCAGACGAGGAGGAGGAAGCACCCCCATCAGGGTTAACGTGACAGGAGACTCATTTGGGATTAGTGAGGGACCAACAGAAGGCCACTTTTTATACAACATTTTCTAAAAATTGTGCCTCAAAGAAAACACAGCAAAAGACACTTAAGACTGGAAACGCAGCAGTTGGTGTCTGTGGGTCAGAGTCCAGATTGTACCTGGAAACTGTGCACTGACCAATCTACTGTAACTCCTGAATGATTATTCAACAGTTCATTTACTCTGCATTTGGACTACATAGTTCACTAACATAAACAGAGTGTGATGGCTGATTTTGGTTGCAACTTTACATTACCTACCTAAGAAAAGCAACTGCTAGTTACATATCAATGGAGGAATTGCCTCCATCAGATTAGCCCCTGGGCATGCCTATAAGGGCATTTCCTTAATTACTAATTGTTATAGGAAGGACTCAGTCCACTATGGGCACTGCAAACCAGAAGAAGGCAGGCCTGGGATACGTAAGAAAGGGAGCTAAGCCTGGAAACAAGTCAGTAACTCAGTAAGCTCCTCTCCATGGTCTCTGCTTCAGCTCCTGCCTCCGGATGCCTACCTTGAATTGTTGCCCCGACTTCCCTCAATGATGGATTGTGACCTGGAAGTATAAGGTAAAATAAGCCCTTTCCTCCCCCAAGTTGTTTTCAGACAGTGTTAGATCACAGAAACAAAAAGCAAATTATAACAAGAGAGGAAAAAAATGAAAGCAAAAACATAATACAAAATTAATTATTTCTGCTGCTTTAGGGAAAGCCAAAGTTACTTTTGAAATATCTAGGTATCAATTAGCCATTGCCCAGAACAGTCAAGATTGATGGCAAAACTAGAAACAACAAACACGAAACATTGATGGAGCCAGGACAGCCATATCAGAATCCAGCGCCCTGTGGTGACCAGGATGGATTCTGAGTGTTATGAAGCGGTTATAATGTCAGCCCCGACATTATAAGATTTCCAGTTTGGTGCATAGTTTGTGTCAAAACCCTACCAAGTAAGATGCACAAACCTGAAGGTCCGAAAGAAGAGAGACAGGCTTACCTGGGTCCTTCTGGTCACCCAGTTTGTCTAGAATGTTGAAGGAGATGTCGAGGTACTCTCTCTGGATAGCGCTGACGGCAATCTTCCTTTGTTTCCTCTGTCTGGGGACGATCTGAATCTTAAACTCTGATTCCTCAGCCCCATCCTCCTCTGCCTTCCTTTCAGGGTTCTGTTCTGTATCAGACTCAGTGCTCGAGTTGGGCTTCTCGCTTTCTATTGGACTCTCGGCATCTTCGGGAACTTTGAGGAGCACAGTTTTGGCCCCTGACGTTGGTGTCTGGCCTGCCTTCTCTCCAGCCATGCCAAGGTCAGGGTTGTAGTCCACTGACATCTCGGGGACCGCAGGTGACTTCTGGAGGTGGTCTCGCTTCTGCTTTAGCGTTAGCGGACTGCCAGAGGCAAACTCTCTCAGCTCCTGTGACTTCGACAGCTCTTCAGAGTCGGTGAGCTCGTCCAGAGCTGTGATGGTCGAGTCCTCATTGCTCGCTGACTGGTGATTTCCTGAGTCCTTAGAGGAAAAGTCTTTGGAACAGTCCTCCACACTGACCTGCACCAGAGGAGTGGTGCTTAAGCTGAGGACAGAGGGCTGGCTGGGGGTGGCGGGTGAGGAGGCAGCATTTTTACCCAGGGGACCATCATTCCCCTGGTTCACCATCTCGTCTTCTTCATCACTTTCTACTATTCTGAGAGGCGGGAGAGGCTCAAATACAAGAGAGTCACTGTCAGATGTTGAGAGTATAGAGTGTTTCTCTGGCCCAGACGTTGAATCTGAGGACAAATCTATGAGATCGAAATCCTCTTTAGGGGCGGGTTTTCCCGGGGAGTCAACTCTCACTTCGAATGTCTCCATACAGTTCAACCTAACTTCTGGTATCACGGGCCTTCGTGTTTCTTGAAAACCTTCAGTCGCCGGATTCTTGGGGATTTCAGTATTGTCCGGCCTCGTAGCAGAATTCTGTCTAGAGCGTCCGTGGTGGTCATTTTGCCGTTGTGCGATATAGGCAGCTTGGGTAGGAGGCTTATCTATGTCACAGCGATCTATGCAGGACTTCCTACGATGCTCATCTAATGTAAACAAGAGGGAGTCTGCATTCCCTATATCAAGAGATTTTTGTTTAAAAGAGCGCAGCTTTTTTTTCTGAATGCTTTCTTCTCTCACACAGTGCAGAACGCTGTCTTGTAACGCACCCGTTTCTCTATATTCGGCCAGTTCTATTTCACCTGATCAAAACAGAAAGAGCTAGTACTATTTCCCTCTGAGAGTTTACCATTTTCCCCTCATACTTGGGTACACAATTGGCACAAATTGCAATTATAATCCCAGCTCTACCAGAAGGGAAACACTTGCTGGCCATGGTTTTGTAATATTTGTTCTGATTTTAAGAACTGGGAAACTTGGGTATGAAAGAAACCCAAGTAGTGGCTTAAGATTAGATTTCCAAAAATCAAACTTAGAGGTAGCTCCTCAGCTCTGATAGTCATTAGACATAAGAGAGGGATTGTTTTGTTTTGTTTTGTTGGTTGATTTTGTTTGTTTTGTTTTGGTTTTTGGCTGAGGCAAGTCTAGGAATGTGTATTCAAATCATGTGAAAGAGAAGCAAACATTTTGCAACAAATTAAATCAAGCAATGGCCCTTGAAGACAATCATGACATTAATGACATATCTGTCAACTCACGTATATATATAGATAAATGTGTGTATATATATACTGTTTGTGCATACATATATATAAAAATCAATAATATCAAAATATATGGTAACATAATAAAATTAAGATTTCACCCCAAACAAACAGTAGAGTACAACATTTCTGCATAAAATTACTAAGAGGAAAAGTTCATACTTCTCTGAACATTCATTTCAACCGGCTGGTATTTCACCATTTTGCTGCCGCCTATCCTTTTCAATCTTGCAAAAAAAGTTTGAGACTCTTTATTGCAGGGTCCAGTAGGTGTATCATGAATATCAGATTCATCAAAAACACTATCTTCTTCTGATTGGGGAGAGAAAGTCAAAATTACACTTAGGAGGTTACTCTCTCTTAGGCTGTGTCTACACAAGCATTCAGTGAAAGCATTCTAGGGCGGTCTAAATGGTTTCAGCAACAGCAGAGTTTAGCTGTGGGTCTGTACTTTATCCAGATCATTCAGATCAGAACCGAGCAACCTGTTACAAAGCTGCCCATCACCTTCCGAATGACAGCGGGCAGCACTATGAGAACCATCTCAGTGGTCCACAAGAGCCTTCCCTGGGGAATGTGCCCATTACACTTAAAACCAAATGACACATAGATGTCAGAACTCTCTCCAGGAGTCTGGACATTGCTCGAGCTTGCCTGCTATCTTTGACAAGGAGGACATTAGCGTGAGTGGGGTTTGACCCTTCTAAGATACATATGCCTTCTTGGGATCTGGGAACTGGCATAGACACAGCCTAACAGTACATGCACCTTATGCTCCGTGAATGCAAAATACTGTACTCTACATTTGGTAATGAAACACACAACACACAGAAAAAGCTTAGAGAAGCCACTGGTCATCTCAGAAGCTCCACAGATGATTATGGACTGAAAGAGTAAACAAAGGAAAAATAAAACAGAAAATCACATTTCTTCCTATTGTAAGAAGACTCTTCTTTGAGGCATTTACTGCATATCTGTAATAGATTTTTGGATGCCAAAGGGAAAAAAACCTTTGGCTCTTGTCATCCTGGGTTCCTTAGACAAGCTGATTGCTTAATGTCCACTAAGCTTGCTTATAGGTCTTTTCTTCTGACCCTACTTGGCTGCTCTTGAGTCAAAATAATCCAAGTAACTTATAAATGAAGAAAGAACCATCCTGCTACAAAATCTCAAGTTTACTTCCCAACATTCCCTCCCTCATCCTTTTGAAAGGATAAGGCACACATAATCAGTGAGAGAAAGACCCGTGAAATACACTTCACAGTATGGTAAATAAAACCACCTGCCCTCTGAGGTGGGTATCCCTGGAACTGCAATGTCTGAGCTTTATGGATCCCTGCGGTGACAGGACGCCATCCCACCGTGATGATGATGGTGAATCTAGATGTCTTGAGTCTGGGAAAATGTCAGTCCTAACGATTAAAGACCAATATCATCCTGATGCTCAAGAGTCTACTAGTTAATGGAACCCAAAGCAGTAAACTTTAGTTGATGTCACCACAGAGATCTTTTTAATCAAATAAAAAACATTAACAATCAAAATGGATGCAAACCTCCATGTGAGTATACACAAAGATAAGACAGTCCACCAGATTCCCATGTGTCTGGGGAAATGCATCAAAATGACCTCCTTTCTTTTTTTTTTTTAAAAAAAAATCTTTTGAAAACTAATTTTCTAAGCAAATGGCAATAGTGACTTGCATTTCACAATTTTGAAATAACTCCAAAAATGTATTGTGTCGCATGATAGTGATGGGAGGACCATGAGCTGTCCCTTCTACCCAGGAAGTCATCTGGGATTGGGCCTATTCACATTGAAAACGTCATAGCTTAAATGAGTTTATGCAATTTTCCAGAGACCTAGCTGATAAACACCACACTCTTCAAGAAGGATCTGAATGGTACCAGAGTGCTAGCTGGCCCTCCTCGTCATCTGACACCAGCCAAGCACCGTGGTCCTCAGAGGAACAAACAGTGGATCACTGGCCACTAGTCCAGTGCCTTCCTCCAGTCACCCCACCAATTCAGATCCATCTAATGCTACAGGGTCAACAGGCACTTGGCTTTCTCCTAAGATTCAGTTCAATGATGTCACCATTTTTGATTTCTAGTTATACTGTGGCATTTATCAAAGACACAAACCTTGGCTCTCCATCTTTTATCTGTAATTTCCCTCAATTTAGTATTTCGTTCTACTGCTGCCTTTGAGGAAAAGTTATCAATGAAAAAGGCATCAACATTGAAAATAATTTAAACTTCTACACAAAAGGCTCTTCATTTCCGCTGCCTTCAATCACTTCGTACTGAATAATGAGGCTCGGAAGAGGCACTTCAGAAAATTGAGACTGAATTCAAAATCTGTGAGCATGAAGTTCAAGGGCAAACAAGAGACACTCAAATGATGATGCCACTGACTGCCAACCCAGACAGGTCACAGCCCAAAGGCAAGATGTTTCCAGTATGTAATAGGAGGTTATAATAGCTCATTAATCAGATGGGGAAAACAGCATCCCCAACATTATTATTATTTTGAGTTTCAGAAGTCCTGCAAACTCAGTTCAAAAGTAAAAGCAACAACATTCCCGAGATAGCTGAAAAGTTAACCAACTAGGAAATGATGGCTTGGGCTTCATAAGAATATAAGGTGGTCACTGGGCGGTGGTGGCGCAAGCCTTTAATCCCAGCACTCGGGAGGCAGAAGTAAATAGATCTCTATGAGTTTGAGGCCAGCCTGGTCTACAAGAGCTAGTTCCAGGACAGCCCTCCCCCACAAAAAAGAATGTATGGGGGTCCTCCTCTACCTCCTTGGACAATATAAAGACTCCTATCTGAAAGCGGATCATGTATCCCAGCTAAGTTCAGGACAGAATTCTGTCTTGAGAAGTACCTTTTTCTTTCTCGCTGTATCTGCTTATGTTGCTGTTGTCACTGTACAAAGGTCCTGCTGTGGCATGGGGCTTGCAGCTATGGTATTGCGCATTGAGTGTATTGACTGTTATGTGAATCAGGTGCAGAAGGATCTTGCTGACATCACAGTCTCGGTATGGATACTGTGCAAAGGGGAGAAAACACAGGTGGTTATTCCAAAGGGTAAGTCTTCCCAGGGATCTTGCTGGGTAGTTTTCTTATACTTCTCATGCACTAGAAAAACGCACACAAAAGTAGCAACACAGGTTCTGATCATAAGCTTGTTTTATAGGGTCCCTGTCTCTCCTTGATTCAAACCACTGACAGCAGCGTGGGCTAGATCCCAGCAAATGCCTTAAAGAGCACCAACAATGCTATCTATAAATATAATTTTAAATATTACCTTTGTTTTCTGATAAATAGTCAAGACTTAGATAAAATATGAGATTCTGAGCATAGAACTCACTGGTTGTTTTAAAAGCATTTGAAACCCTCCACTGCATTCCTCCTGTTTCTTTTCCACTCTCATAACTCTTCGCCTCGCAGCACAGACTGCATCTCTTCGGAAGGTCTAATTGTCATCCTGTGGAATCCTCATCCGCTAGGGACCCTCCTAGCATTACTGTGCTGTCTCAGACAACCTTCCATACCAGCAGAGAAAGCACACTCACTCACCTTGTAAAGGATGACGAGCAAGGCCTTCAACCACATCTGCCTGATGTGAGGCTTTAAGGACCAGAGGGAGCAGCGAGGTGGCTGTTGGAAATAATGCCGTAGTTGAGGACAAGAGCAGTATTTGAGCACCTGGACCACGAGGGGGAGAAGGTGTTTGCCCAAGTTAATGTTATAGTCCATAACCTGAAATAGAAGAATATTAGTAACTGAAAGAAAACTATAAATATCAAGAAGAAAAAGGAAAAATTTGAACCATCACAGAACACACAGAGGCACCTCACAAAATATCAATATGAATAGGCAGTGTTCATGAAGGGGAAATTCCCAATCTCACAATAAATTTTAATACTTACAAACTGATAGTTTTTACCTAATCATCTATTTCATTATGTGCTAAAAATAAAATTGTATATATTAAAATACCTATCATAACAACTAACTAAGACTAGGCTAGTCTGGGTGGAAACAAAACATTAACCATTCAGAGAAATGAGATTGCCTGGTCACATCTGGTAGATGTAGAAAGCTGTATAATCTTCTAGAACAGAAAGTTAGCCAAATGCATTCAAAACTAGGAGAAAGTATATATCCTTTATCATGGCAACCAAGTGAATCTGAAGAAAACAATCATTCAAGTGTTCCAAAATGTCTGGGTAAAGGCATTCAGCATGATGCCCCAAACTGAAAACTATTCCTGCATCCAGCCATTAATTAAATATTATTTGTGCTAGGTATAGTGGCTCAGACCTGCAGTTCCAGCACTCAGAAGGTTGAGACCGAAGGAATGTGAAGCCAGCCTGCTCTACATAGTGAATACTGGGTTATAATGTGAGATCCTGTATAAACAAGCAAAATAAGTAAAATAAATAAAACATTATTTGTATAAAAGTATACTGGCCTTCTCCCATAGCCATACTGATGAATATTTTGCATATCACCATAGAACCTTCATCTGGCGATGGATGGAGATAGAGACAGAGACCCACATTGGAGCACTGGACTTAGCTCCCTAGGTCCAAATGAGGAGCAGAAGGAGGGAGAATGTGAGCAAGGAAGTCAGGATCACGAGGGGTGCATCCACCCACTGAGACGGTGGGACTGATCTAATGGGAGCTCACCAAGGCCAGCTGGACTGGGAGTGATGGAGCATGTGATCAAAATGGACACTCTGAATGTGGGTGGCAATGAAGGCTGAGTGAGAAGCCAAGGACAATGGCACTGGGTTTTTTATTCTACTGCATGGACTGACTTTGTGGGAACCTGGTTTGTTTGGATGCTCACCTTTATAGACCTGTATGGAGGGAGGAGGACCTTGGACTTCCCACGGGGCAGGGAACCCTGACTGCTCTTAAAACTAGAGAGGGAGGGGGAGGTGGGGAGGGGCAGGTGGGGAGGGGGAGGGAAAAAGGAGGCGGGGAAGAGGTGGAAATTTTTAATAAATAAATAAATTAAAAAAGTATACTTAAATAGGCAATAATATGATAAAAACTTCATAATTATTAATTTTGTTTTTAAAAGTTATATGTATATTAGTATACGTAATATTGTATATACTTTATTTTTTAATTTTTTTGAGACAGGTCTCATGTAGCCCAGGCTAACCTGCAGTTCATTATCTTCCTACTTTTGCCTTCTAAGTGCTGGAACTACAGGCATAATGCCATCTTACCCACTTTATATATACAATCTTTTTGCTTGCTTGTTTTGCAAAATAGGGTTCCTCTGTGTAGCCCTGGCTGTCCTGGAACTCATTCTGTAGACCAGGCTGGCCTCAGACTCAGAGATACACTTGATTCTGTCTCTTGAGTGCTGGAATTAAAGATGTGCACTGCCATGCCTGGTTACACATTTTTACAAAAACTGTGTCAGGCCAGTGAGATGGCTCAGTCAGTAAAAGTGCTTGCTGCCAAGTCTGATGACCTGAGTGCGAACCTTGGAACACATGGTGGCACAAGAGACTCAATTCAGGAAGTTGCTCTCTGACCTTCACACATCACCATGGCGCACAAAAATAGAAAGATGAATGAAAAAAAAAGTTGTCAAAGTAAGCTTTAAAAAAATATGTGTAGTTACAAACAAACATGTTTGTGTGTGTGTGTGTGTGTGTGTGTGTGTGTGTGTGCGTACACATGCATGTGGGCATGTGTATGTGTGACACAAATTCAGGAGGAGCATTTTATAGACTTTTTAATTTTAAAACTTGTAATTTCTAAAGTAAATGCACAATGTGAATTCAGAGGAGGGAAGAAGGGAGAAAGGGTAGTAGTGTTCGTTGTTGAAAATGGCACATATCTGGCTATCTGCCTCGGTGAGAGTAGCTGCCTCAGCAAAAGTAGCTGCTTCAGTGAGAGTAGCTTCCTCAGAGAGAGTAGCTGTCTCAGTGAGAGTAGCTGCCTCAGCAAGAGTAGCTTCCTCAAAAGAATAGCTGCCTGCAGGTAACTTCTGCTTTCTTGCTTGTGTTCACTCTATTACAATCTGTGGGAGTGAATTAGTAATAGCCTCTGCCTGCTGAGTCCCTACCATAAGACAGACAGTGAGTAAGGTGTTTTACAATGTGTTGACTGGGCATTCCCCACCAGTCGGCAAGTAGGTGAGAGATCTACCTCCAGGCTACACCCCCACCCCCACCACACACTGGACTCTGTCCCTCCGAGACCCACTCTTTCACCCAACCTGAACATTCTCTCTAAGGCCAGCCCTCCCCTGCAACCCCAGCAGACTACATAAGCACAGGTATAAACCACACCAATTGGAAGAACAGGCGTAGACACAACCCACATCAGTTGGAAGAACAGATGACACAGACCCAGGCACGACCCACACCAGTTGGAAGAACAGGTGAGTAAACGCCAGTGGAAAAATACATTCAACAACCAAAAGACCAATATGGCACCACCAGAACCCAGTGATCCTACAACAGCAAAACCTGAACATTTCAATGCAGCTGAAATACAAAAAAAAAAAGAAGTGGCTTTAAAAAATAATTTTATGAAGATGATAAAAGCTCTTAAAAAGAAATGAAAAATTTCCTTAAAGAAATTGAGAAAAAGACAAACAAAAATTTGGGGGAAAAATCAATAAATCCCTTAAAGAAAACCAAGAAAGCAATCAAATAGGTAAAGGAAACAGTTCAAGACTTGAAATCTGAAATAGAAACAATAAAGAAAACACAAACTGAGGGAATTTTGGAAATAGAAAATCTAGGGAAGTGAACAGGAACTACAAATTCCATACAAGTAACTATTCTTCCATACAAGAAATGGAAGACAGAATCTCAGGTGTTGAAGATATGATGTAGAAAACAAATCCATCAGTCAAAGAAAATGTTAAATCCAATGAATTCCTAGCACAAAACATTCAGAAAATCTGGGGCACCATGAAAAGACCAACCCTAAGAATAATAATGATAGAAGTAAGAGAAGAAAGAAGTAAGAGAGAAGTAAGAGAGAAGTAAGAGCTCAAAGGCTCAGAAAACATATTCAACAAAATTGTAGAAAACTTTCCCAGTCTAAATAAAGACATGCCTGCAAAGAAACAAGAAGCTTTGTAACACAAAATAGGCTGGACCCCCAAAAAAATACCTTCACCACTAATAATCAAAACATTAAACATAAAGAATAAAGAAAGAATATTAAGAGCTACAAAGTAAAAAGGCCAAGTAACATATAACGGTAGACCTATCAGAATTACACCCAACTCCTCAGTGGAGACTCTTAACAGCTAGACAGTCCTGGACAGATGCTTTGCAGATATTAAGAGACCATAGATGCCAGCCCAGACTACTGTACTTAGAATCAGCATACCACAACACAGCAGTCTCACAATGGACAGGTCAGCCAGACAGAAACTTAATAGAGAAACAAGGAAAAGTTTCAATCACCATAGATGGAGAAAACAAGATAGTCCATGACAAAACCAGATTTAAACAATACCTAGCCACACATCCAGCCCTACTGAAAATACTGGAAGAAAAACTCCAACCCAAGGAAGCTGGCTACATCCACAAAAAAAACACAGGCAATAGATGATCTCACACCAGCAAACACAAAGGGAGACACACATATTACCACCACTACCACAAAAAAAAACCAAAAATTAACAAGAATTAACAATCACAGTCAATAGAATCTCTTAATATCAATGGACCCAACTGACCTATAAAAAGACACAGGCTAAGAGAATGGATACGAAAACAGGATCCATCCTACTGCTGAATACAAAAAAATACACCTCAGTTTCAAAGACAGATATCACCTGAGAGTAAAGGGTTGGGAAAAGATTTTCCAATCAAATGGACCTAAGAAACAAGTCAGTATAGCTATCCAAATATTTAACAAAATAGACTTCAAACTAAAGTTAATCAAAAGAGATGGAGAAGGTCACTTCATATTCATCAAAGGAAAAATCCATCAAGATGAAGTCTCGATTTTGAACATTTATGCCTCAAATACAAAGGCACCCATATTTGTGAAAGAAATATTACTAAAGCTTAAAACCACACATCAAACCTCACACATAAACAGTAGAAAACTTCAACACCCCATTCTCACCAAAGGACAGGTCAGTCAGACAGAAACTTTACAGAGAAACAAGGAAACTAACAGATGTTATGATTCAATAGACATCTACAGAACATTTCAACCAAACACAAAAGAATGTACATACTTCTCAGCACCTCATGGAACCTTCTCTAGAACTGACCACATACTTGGTTAGTCATAAAGCATATCTCAACAGACAGAAAAAAGTTGGAATAATCCCTTGTATCTTATCGGAACACCATGGATTAAAGTTAAAGTTCAACAACACAAACTACAGAAAGCCTACAAACATGGAAACTGAACAGATCTCATCTGAATCACCATTGGGTCAAAGGAGAAATAAAGAAATTAAATACTAGAATTATTAAATACCTAGAATTCAATGAAAATGAATCCACAACATACCCAAATTTACGGGACATTGTGAAAGCAGTGCTAAGAGGGAGGGTCATAGCATGAAGCACCTATATAAAGAACCTGGAGAAATCACATACTAGCAACTTAACAGCATACCTGAAAGTTCTAGAACAAAAAGAAGCAAATTTACTCCAGGAGGGAGTAAATGGCAGAAAATAATCAAACTCTGGGCTAAAATCAATAAATTAAAAACCAAGAGACTAATACAAAAAATCAATGAAACAAAGAGCTGGTTCTTTGAGAAAATCAACAAGATAGTCAAACCCTTATTCAAACTAATCAAAAGGCAGAGAGAGAACATCCAAATTAAAAGAATCTGAAATGAAAAGGGGGACATAACAACAGACATTGAGGAAATTCAGAGACTCATCAGATCATACTTCAAATTTCTGTACTCCATAAAGCTGGAAAATCTAAAGGAAATTGGCAATTTTCTGGATAGGTACCACATACCAAAATTAAATCAAGACCAGACAAACAAAATAAACAGACATTAAAAGTCTCCAAAAAAGATAGTTTCAATGTAGAATTCAATCAAAATTTTAAAGATGAGATAATATAAATATTCCTCAAATTGTTACAAACAACAGAAACAGATGGAACATTGCAAAATTCTTTTTATGAGATCACAGTTTCACTGACACCCAAACTGCATAAAGATATAACAAAGAAAGAGAATTACAGATCAATCTCCCTCATGAACATTGATGCAAAAATATTCAATAAAATATTGGCAAACTAAATCCAAGAACATATCAAAAAAAAAATCATCCATCATGATCAAGTAGGCTTCATCCCAGAAATGCAAAGATGGTTCAACATACGAAAATCAGTCAAAGTAATCCACCATATAAACAAACTGAAAGAAAAACACCACATGATCATCTCATTAAATGCTTAAAAGGCCTTTGACAAAATCCAACACCCCTTCATGATAAAGGTTCTGGATAGTCAAGAATACAAGGAACATACATAAACATAATAAAAAGTAATATACAGCAAGCTAACAGTCAACATCAAATTAAATGGAGAGAAACTCAAAGCAATTCCACTAAAATCAGGAACAAAAGAAGGCTGTCCATGTTCTCCATATCTACAATATAGTATTCAAAGTTTTAGCTAGAGCAATAAAGCAACAAAAGGAGATCAAGGAATACAAATTGGAAAGGAGTAAGTCAAACTTTTGCTATTTGCAGATGATACGATGGTAACAAGATTTAACTCAAAAACAACAGTACCCCTCTATATACAAATGATAAATGAGTTGAGAAAGAAACCAGAGAAACAACACCCTTTGCAACAGCCACAAATAATATAAAATATCTTGAAGTAACTCTAATCAATCAAGTGAAAGGGCCTGTATGACCAAAACATTATGTCTTCGAAGAAAGAAACTGAAGAAGATATTAGAAAATGGAAGATCTCCCATGTTCATGGATTGGTAGGATTAACATAGTAAAAACGGCAATCTTATCAAAAGCAATCTACAGATTCAACACAATCCCCATCAAAAGTCCAACACAATTCTTCACAGACCTTGAAAGAACAATACTCAACTTTATATCGAAAAACAAAACAAAACAAAAAGAATAGCTAAAAAAAATCCTGTATAATAAAGGAACTTCTTTATTATCTCCATCCCTGACTTTAAGCTCTACTATAGAACTATAGTAATAAAAACAGCATGGTATTGGCATAAAAACAGACAGGTGGATCAATGAAATTGAATCAAAGACCCTGACATAAATCCACACATCTATTAACATCTGACTTTTGACAAAGAAGCCAAAATTATACAATAAAAGAAAAAGAAAATGGTGTAGGCATAACTGGATGTTGGCATGTAGAAGAAATAGTTCCCTATCTATTGCCCTGCACAAAATTCAAGACCAAGTGAATCAAAGACCTCAACATAAATCTAGTTACACTGAACCTGGTAGAAGAAAACGTGGGAAATAGTCTTGAATTCATTGGCACAGGAGACAACTTCCTGAATATAACACTAGTAGCACAGACACTGAAATCAACAATTAATAAATGGGACCTCCTGAAACTGAGAAGCTTCTGTGAGGCAAAGGATACTGTCAATAAGACAAAATAGCAAACTACAGAATAGGAAAAGATCTTCACCAATCCCACATCTGACAGAGATGTGGGATTTATATATTTCTCCAAAATATATAAAGAACTCAAGAAACTAGACATCAAAATGCCAAATAATTCAATTTAAAATGGAGTATAGATTTAAACAGAGAATTCTCAACAGAAGAATCTCAAATGGTCAAGAAACACTTAAAGAATTGCTCAACATCCTTAGCTAACAGGGAAATTCAAATTAAAATGTCTCTGAGATACCATCTTACATCTCTCAGAATGGCTAAGATAAAAAATGCTAATGACAGCCTATGTAGGAAAGGATGTAGAATAAGGGGAATACTCCTCCACTGTTGGTGGGAGTGCAAGCTTGTACAGCTGCTATGGAAATCATATATCCAAAGGATGCTCAATCATACCACAAGGACACATGCTCAACTATGTTCATAACAGCACTATTCATAATAGTCAGAACCTAGAAATAACCTAGATGCCTGTCAACTGAGGAATAGTTAAAGAAAATGTGGTACATTTACACAGTGGGGTATTACTCACAGCTTAAATCAAACAAACAAACAAACAGTGACATCATGAAATTTGCAGGCAAATAGATGGAACTAGAAAAAAATCATCCTGAGTGAGGTAACCTAGACCCATAAAGACAAACATGGTATGTGCTCACTCATAAATAGATATTAGACATAAAGCAAAGGACAACTAGCCTACAATATATGCCCCAGAGAAGCTAGATAACAAGGAGGACCCTAAGAGGGATGCATGGATTTCCCTGGGAAGGGGAAATAGATGAGATCTCCTGGATAAACTGGGGGTGAGGTGGAGTGGAAGGGATCTGTGGGGAAGGAAACATGAGGGAGCGGGTCGTCAAGTTGGGGTTAGGGCAGAGAGAAAGAGCAATGAAAGAGAAATCTTGATAGAGGAGGCCATTTTGGGGTTAGGGAGAAACCTGATGCCAGGGGAACTCCCAGGAATCCACAAAGATGACCCCAGCTAAGACTCCTAACAATAATGGAGAGGGTGCCTTCTCCAATATGGTGACTACCCTAATTGTTAGCAGAGAGTCTTCATCCAGTAACTGATGGAAGCAGATGCAGAGATCCACAGTCAAGCCACTGGGCCAAACTCTAGGAGACCAGTTGACAAGAGGGAGGAACGATTGTATGAGCAAAGGGGGAGGAGTCAAAATCATAACAGGGAAACCCACAGAGACAACTAACCAAGTTAAGGGAAGCTCACGGACTCTGGGTGGACAGCTATGGAGTCTACAAGGGACCAACCTAGGTCCCCTGCATGTAGATGACAGTTGTGTAGCTTGGTCTGTTTGTGGGGCCCAGAGAAGTGGGAGCAGGACGTGTCCCTGGCACATGAGCTGGCTTTTGGGAACCTATTACCCATGCAGGGATGCCTCAACCTAGCCTCAATGCAGGGGAAGGAGCTTGGTACTGCCTCAATGTGATGACATGCTAGAAAAATATTGGGCACCAAATACAAAAATATTATAACATAAAAATTTTAGACAGGGTCTCTCCTGAATCTGGAACACACCAATTAGAAAGGCTGCAAAGGCAATGAGCTCCAGGACCTTCTCTGTCTGCACTACCCCAGCACTGGGGTTGTAGATGCCCACTACTTGTTTTCCTTTATCCTTGGGCCCTAAAGACTGAACTCGAATTCATATACTTGTTCCATGGCCATGTCACTGACTGAGCTATCGTACTACCACTGTGTTTCAATACTGTGTTAAATATATTTTACAGACATTTCCTTTACAATACAAAGCTGCTAACTCCCACTCCATCTTATTCTCCCCTTTACAGACTCCTGCCTAATACCAAGTAATCTGAACAAACTTTTACACTCCACATATCTAAGTGGAATGGAATTCCTAATTTCTATCAAAACCCGCAACCGGACTCCTGAAAGCACTATTACACTTACTTGGGCAATTCCTGCAATAAATGCATTAAAGCATGTTGACAGGCGCATTTTTTGGGGTGCAATCATGAAGCAGCCTTCCTGTTGGTCATAGCCAAGTAAAACGTAGAGGTGCCTCTTGACCGTGTTGAAGGCCTTGGCGCTGCTGATGTCTGACTCCGCGCTGCTCTCGTCCTTGGCCATAAACTTCATGAGCACAGTAATCAGCTGGTGGACTGTCTGGTGGTCGATTCCAGCATCTTCTGGGAGCAAGTCCTTGATGGTGTTGTCATTCTCAGGAGACTGTTGTCCTGTCAGTGTAAGGAACACAGTCAGTGTGCAGCTGTGCCTCCTCAAGCAAGTTGACATTAACTTGTCACCTGACCTTGACAAGTTACCATCCTTTCTGCTTCTACTAAGCATGTACAAGTTCCGCTCTACATGAGAAATTAAAGGCACAATATGGCTTCCGAGCGGAGTGTCGCTCCTGAGGCGGGAGCTACAGTCTCCATCACTGAGCAGTTACTCAGGAGTGAGACAGGAGTGGAGACAAACCTGAAGCCCTATACGGCAACACTGTTCTCAAAGTGTCAGATAAATACCTAGCAAACTTTGCAGTTCTTAATACAGTGGTCAAGTTGTATCCTCAGTGAGGGAGACAGAAGAGGCTCTGCCCAGCTTGTACGCCATGTTAGTAAGATCGCCAAGCAGAAAAGGACTAGCTGGTGGGATTTTATTTTAATTATGGTCTCAATCCAATAATGTTCACGAGTCAGCTGGGGCAGAATAATATTTTTTCCAAATGTTGAGAGATTCAGCAGTGTGTAGTCTCTGAATTACAAATGGCCAATGATAAGCCTTGCAGAATGTAATGAGAGACACAAAGGCAAAGGAGAGACAGAGACATGAGCTCTCAACAACATAATAAATAAATAAATAAGTAAATAAATAAATAAATAAATAAATACCACCACTAGGTGAGCTGAGAGTTCACATGAAAGAAAATGCGCTCTAGTCCTTGGCTTCCTCTTCAACTCCCGGTTATACCTGAGCTGCACCCTAGTCTTCTAGCCTGCCTCGCCCCCTCCTAACCTTCTAGCCTGCCCCACCCCCTCCACTCTTCGTGGTCAGGCTTGGTTTAGGACTTTGAGGAAGGAAGGCTCTTATTTACTCTCTTGTACTTATGTTTTTTCCAAATCACTCTGCAGCCTGTCCTTTTGATAAACAGTAGAATTTCTAAATTCAATTTAAGTTTTTATGTAATAGGTTATTAGAGCTGGACACCAGCATCCTCATCTCTTCATTCAAGAGTAAGTCCAGCAGCGTGAGGACAAGCATTGGGTGCAAACTTTCGCGAACCTAGCCTTGGTCGCATCTACTATAAGTATGCAAATTATATAAATTATGATGTCAAAATGACACAACAGAGATCCAGGGAGTGATTTATACCCACTAATGCCTCAGTTAATTTGGTAAAATTCTATCTTTCAGGGCCAGATGAAGAGAAGCCAGACAGAAGCACTGTTTCCTTATACTGTGGAACTGGTCTGTCTAACAGCCACTCTGCTCTAGGACAGGGGCATAAAGTAAGGCTGGATCAAGAGTTACCGATCATACTTCAACATGGCCTGCAGAGGTGGTAGCAAACTTGATCAGCTACTTCCCCTGTGTCTTCAGGAGGATGTTGATCTACCCACAGATATATGAGTAGGAGGTAGTGTTCAAGAGCAGGCAGAACCAACCCAGTCTAAGGGCTCTAATCCAGAAGGACCTTCTGACACTCGGCATTATGACCCAAGACATTAACATTTTCGGTCTTATCAGTCTGTCTACAAAGCATGCACACATGCAATATGCTTACATGCAACATGCTTAGGAACTTTCCCCATTAAATTCATTTTTAAAGCACCTAAGGATTTGGTTCACAAATGAATAATCCATAGCATCATTCTATTAAGGCATTTATCACTAAACAATTTATGTGGAGCAGCTTATTTCAATGAAAGACCAGAAAGGTCTAAATTCATCACATATAGTTAAACTGAATATAAGATTTGATCAAAAGCAATTCTTATGTAAATCTTTGAAAAACAACACACACATGTATAGAGAGAATTCTTTTTGTTTGATTGTTTTTGAGACAGGGTTTCTCTGTGTAGTTCTGGCTGTTCTTGAGCTCACTCTGTAGACCAGGCTGTCCTCAAACTCCAAGTTCTGACTGCCTCTGCCCCACCAAATGCTGGGATTAAAGGCATGTGCCACCACTACCCAGCAAGAGAGAACTCTTTTAGCATTAAAAAATAGAATTTTTTTTAAAAGCCTGTCTACTTTGTGAGGCTAGAGATTTGGCTCGTCAGTTAAGAGCATTTGCTGTTTTTGCAGAGGACAGAGGTTCAGTTCCTAGCATCCACCATGTGCTCACAGGCCCTGTGCCTTCAGATCAGGGACTCTTGCTTCCTCTTCTGGCCTCTGAGGCACCTGCATGCCTGTGGTGCACATGAAGACAAGGAGGTGCACACATACACATAAGTAGAAAATATATTTTTTTCAGAAAACATATTTTTTAAAAAACTACTTTTGATTTTCCTTCTGGAGTATTATTTTACAGTTAGATTAATATTACTGCTTAAGAAAATTGGTAATAAATAAATAAATATATAAATGAATGAAAAAGATAAAGTGGGACTAGTGTGTGTGCCTAGGTTCCATGTGGGCCCAATGCCATTACAGCAGCAGCAGGCGTCCCGTCATGGCAGGGTTTCAGCACTCAATTCCTTTTAGCTCTGGGGTGCAGGCTTTAGGAGAGCACGCATCTCTCAGGCTTGCCTGGCTCCTTCGTGTCTAGCATAGCTTGACTCCTAAATGGAAGTGGGGATGACACAGCTGCTTTGATGTTAGTCCTAATAAGGTGGGGACACCGGAACAGAGAGAGTCCTGCCCCCACCTCATTCTGCCTCAAGTCACAGCCGAGAAGACAACTCATCAAACTCTATCCTAACCATTCTAAAACTCGCATTCCTATTACAAGGGGAATGATTTTTTTTAATTCTCAGCAAATCATATTTCCTCCATGGCTGAATATCATCTCATATGTGCCCTCATTTCAGAGATCAGTGCTTCGGGGTGATGCTTGCTGCTTTTAGTCTGCCTTCCCTCTGCAGTCATAATGAGAGATCCTTAGCAAGCCATCAAAAGTACTTATCCCCATGTAAAAAATAAACCACTATTTCTTATTCCGTTAATCTGCCCCTCCCACCCTGGACATTACAAGCCTGCACTTAGCTCATCATATTCCATTAGAATAGAGTGGGCTTGTGAGGGATGCACACTTCTTAAGGGAAAGTGGCCAGGCTAAATCCCTATGGGAAATGAGCTGTACAAACTGGATGGACTGTTATTTAATGCTACTTGAATTATCTATAAAAGACATACAATTTCCATTTCAAAACTAAATACCTACAACTAAAGGCACAACAATTAGGACACCTGCGAGTTTTCAGTTCTAGTCTGTGTGGTTCCTTCCTTAACCATAGTGATTCATTTTAAAGGTTTGATTTTATTTCTGTAAATAAAGTTTAGATGCTATTATAACCCTGGAGGCAGAGAGAGCCTACCATAATTTAGTGTGGACTGGGTTCTCCATGACTCATTCACAGAGTGGAGTGACTGAATGAAACTCAGAAGCAGAATACAGGGTCAGAGATACAGGTTATTGGCACCAGGCAGAATCTGCTTTTCGAGACATGGCTCCTGGACCTCCCATCCCCCACATACCAAATGCTCAGCACTCCCCCAAGCTGGACTATTTATGGATTTCAGAAGAACCAATGCTCGCCCACCCTCATTTTTGCTCATAGTGATCATTGCCTTGCCAGGGCAGACTTCCACCTGGTCCCGCGTTTTGTGCTATGAATCTTCTCCCTGGAAGCCATTCTTATTCCCTATGCCCACAGTCCCCTCCATAACTGGACGTGGGCCCCATAGTCTGTTATGTTCCAAAGATGAGAAGAGATAAGCTGGGAAGCAGAAGAGGAAAATTTCTTTTAGCATTCCCCAAATATCTTTTATGCAAGGCAGAACTTTATCTATTCCTTGTTTATTTCCCCTGCAAAATACACATGACTTGGAGGCATGTGCTATGTCTTATCCATCTTAGCACCTGCCGCAGAGCACAGGATGCTATACACATAGAGGAGATACTTAATGTTCATACGTGTCCAAGTGAACTGAACTCAAATAATGCTCCAGATCTTCTCTTCTATATAAGAGAAAAATTGAGGTCCCATGACAGAAAAACTAATGTGGGAACATGGCTCTGTATGAACTGACTCACTGACCTTTCTTTCCAAGTAACACGTGACAATCAGGCAGGGAAAGCAAAGACCACATCAATGAGTTTGTTCCTACTTTTGACCCAGAAAACTCAAGTTCAAATGCTGCATTCTTAAGCCTTCACTTATCTGTCAACTTAAAGCTTTTCCCAAAGTAGTTCCAGTGTGTGTGCATGTGCGTGTGTGCGTGCGTGCATTCATACTACTGCAGGAGGTTGCGTGTGTATGCGTGTGCATGCTTGTGTGCGCGCATGTGCATGTGTTCATACTACTACAGAAGGTGTGTGTGTGCACACGTGTATGTGCGCACGCATGCATGTGCGTGCGTGCGTGCGTGTGTGTGTGTGTGTGTGTGTGTGTGTCCATACTACTGCAGAAGAGCTGGGAAGCTAACCTTCTAGTCTCATGTTCCTCCTTTGCCTCTTCCTAGCCTGTGTCCTGTCACCATGTGTTTATACTCTGTCTGTGATGGCTACGGGTTTTGATTTGTTTTGTTGTTTATTTGTTTGTCAACTTGTCACAAGCTAGAGTGATTTTGGAAGAGTGACTCTCATCAGAGAAAATGCCTCCATCAGATTCTCTGCAGACAAGACTGTGGGGCATTTTCTTCATTAATGATTGATGTGGGAGGATCCAGCCCACTGTGGGTGGTGCCATCTCTGGTCAGGTGGTCCTAGGTGATATCAAAAAGCAAGCTGAGAGCACCATGGGGAACAAGCCAGTGAGAGGCACTCCTCCAGGTTCCTGCCTTGAGTTCCCGCCCTGACTTCCTTCATGATGGACATAAGATGAAGCAAACCCATTCTTCCCGGGTTGTGTCCAGCCATTCAGCCATGGTGTTCGAGCATAACAACAGAAAACAAAGTAGGACAGTTCCACCAATGAGAAGCCAGAGAGAAAGCCCTCTGCAGCTTCAGCTGGTGAAAGGCTCTCCTGCTACGTCTGGTGTCAGTCAGGCATTCGTGTAAACGCACTGTAGGTGAAGGGACATGAAACATACATGAAATATATTTCTAGTCTCTTACTTTCCAGCTATTCATCCCTGGGGATGAGAAACATGCTAAGTCTGAGCATTTCACATTTGTGTGGCTGGTACCGTTCATTGATATTGAGCTGATAGACCTTCTGAATAAAGTACCCGGGTAGTCCTCAGCGGACACTGCAGACATGCCAATCTGAAATGCCCACAGTATTACCGAAAAGACACCTTACATAATTGCACAAATGCCAGGCCAGCAGTGATGGAGTCCGAAATCAGTGAACATGGTGGTGTTTATATGGCCACATAAGCCGTATAAATCGGGAACTCAGGAACAATGAGTGTGAGACCCGAGCCTGTCACCAACAAATTTGTGGCATCTGTCCCTTTGTGAGAAACTGTTTCTTCTCCTATACAATGAGAATGTTAGTGCCCCTCCCATGTCAGCTCTCACACTCCATGAATGTTATTTATGTGCACAAAAGACTTTGGCTTGGCTCCTACCCATTACAGGGGAATGCAGCTTTTTGCACAGGCCTTGCAGAGTATACCATCTATCTATAGAAAACCTTCCGTTTTATTTGCTGTGAGTCCTACATAAAGGCTAAGATTAGAAAATCATACATTGTAAACGCAGAGTCCCAAAGTTCAGCCTAAACACGAATTAGAAAGCTTTTTTACTGCATAATTAAATCACACCCGGTTTATTTCAGGCCTAATCAATAGTCTGCACAGAGGGGTTCGCTGCCCAGACTAAACAGAAATCTGTTTGTTAAGCAGCAAGCTCTTCCATTTTACGCTATCCTACACGGTTTTCTGACGGAGTATGCCTTCGCTTCCAAGTAAAAACATCACTATCCAGTGAAGGATAATTCAAAGACACAACAGTTGTTCTGCATGCCATAAAAGCTGGGCCAGCTGCTTCCAAACTAGGGAGGCTTTCCTCGTCCTGTTGTCACAGGGATTCTCTCCCAGCAGTCTTAGCTTCATACTTACTTTAAACTATGTAGCTGTCTGCCTCTTTCTGCCTGGTCCTTCGGGTGGAATGATATGTTGCTTGAGGCTTTTCTTAACTTCAGCAAACACACGGACATTTTCCTACAGGGATGTGAGGGGCTCCTTCGGTTGGATTGTTAGAATAGATAATAGTAACCAAAGACTGGCCTTTCAAGGAAGCGTGAAAGGATAGACCAGCCTCGAGATAAAATAAAGGAAATATATGAAACTGACTAAGAATTTTTTCCAAAAGGCCTCACTGAAAGGGAACTAGATGAACCTCACCTTTCTTTCTTTAGGAGATTTGTTTATTTTTATTTTATGTGTATGAGTTCTTTGCCTACAGGTCCATAAGTGCACTATGTGTGGTCTATGCCCACTGCTCTAAGAGGCCAGAAGAGGATATCAGATCCCCTAGAACTGGAGCTACAAACAATTGTGAGCCATTGTGTGGGTGCTTAGAATTGAACCTGGGTCCTCTTCAAGAGCAGCAAGTGCTCTTAACCACTGAACCATCTCTCCAGCCCAGATCCCACCTTTCTAATCTAGACTGAGTGTCGTTAGATCAGAAGTTCTTTTAATTTACCCCCTCTCTCTTTCTTTCTCTCTCCCAAAAGAAGAGATAGTTATAAATCTAAGAGGGACTCAGCCACATGCTTGCCATTCTCTGTTTTCTAATCCCTTTCAAAAGAGAAAGAATACTTTTTACCCCCCATCTACTTCCTGTATCCACAATCTCTGGGGCCTTTCCATCTCTCCAACTCCTGAATTTCTGTGTTTTGAGTGTCTTTTTTTTATAATATGCAAAGCTCATAACCTTCAAAGTCTCCTTATTTAAATTTTTTTCTCAGAGTGTTAGTTAATACCATTCTGAAACGTTTAACTTAAAGCTATACTCAGATAAAAATCCAAATGTTTCTAGAATGAGACCAAGGTTGATATGACAGTCATGCAGGTATTCAGAAACTCACAGTCTTCTCGGTGAATGGTGGCACCATATGGACAGCATTCAGTTAGTAATGTCCTTGCCAGTATCTGCTCAACACTTGGGACACTTCGTGCTAAGTTCTAACAGTAAGGAATGTGACATGAGAAGTTACGCCATGTCACCCTAAATAAAGCCTTCAGATCCTCCAAGCGATGGAAATGCTCCCAAAGAACAGGAAGGCACAGACTCGCAAAGAACTGAGTGGCTACAAGGATGAGCAGATGGTGGTCCAAACACAAAACCCTTTCAAAACGCAAATGAAGAGTGTGTTTCACCTAAAGAAGACCCTTATCTATGAACACAGAGTTTCTATGTGTAGCTTACACATACAAACATATCAGGAGCAAGGAGCACAATCCTAGTCACGCCTGCTGTCTGTGGAGAGGTGGGCAATTGGTGCTTCTTACTGGACCAAAAGTCAATGGGATCAGAAAACGTCTGCTTAGAAAATGATGTAAAGAATTGACCCAGCAGCGGTTCAGACATTTGAGCATCGAGAGCGAGACCCTTTGGGGCTCACAGATCTTAATATCACTCTGGTCCAGTGAGAAACACTGAGTTCTTTACCTAGGGTACCTATGATAGAGACACTTGTGTCAGAAGTACCCACCTGGCGTCTGTTCAGGTGTCCCACCGAGAGCTGGAGCAGACTGCTCATGCCTGGTCAACCTCACAGCTTAAAAATCAACAACAACTCTATTTCAATAAGCATTAAAGACAACTGGAGCCTAGAAAAATACTCAGTGCTGGCTGCTCTGGATAGCAGAAGCACGCTAAGTTTTCTTATTTGTGATTATCATCATATAAAAGATGTTTACTCCAAAATGCTTGTGTTTTGTTTCTGATCTCAAGAAAACCCCTTCAAGTCATGTGGATTCTAAAAGCATCAAAATGGTTGTGTGAATTAATAAGGAATAAATCAAGTGAAACCCAAACTAGTAAGTTAGGTTATTAAAGGGTTGGAAAACTCATATGAAAGTTGTAGTTAATTCAATCTAGGGTTGGTGTCCTTCAGCTGGCACCAGCTTCTCCCAGGGTCACTATGAATTAGTCTTCAGTGTGATTTGCTTTGCTCCCTGAGAAGCTAAGGTTATCAATTACTTAAAAGGCTTTCTACCGACTCTTCTAAGGCTCAAAATACCACATACTCAGAGCTTGTCATAAAAAGGAAAAATGTAGCAAAGAAAATCAGATCCTATTTATGACTAACATGATAATGTCATATAAAGTTGTTCTCTAACGAATGCCAAGGAAATGGAAATCTTTCTGCTTTGGACAGAAGTGTGCTTAAGTGTGCTTGCGGCGTTACTTCATGGGTGGTATTTAAGACTAAATCATCCAGATATACGCATTCATTCACAGTGATTTAGTTCTGCAGGCTTTATTATTTGCCACTCATGTGCTGTCGTTAAACAGTGGTATTTAGTTCTTTGGTTACTTAAGGAAAAGCATTCTCTTTAAATATAATATAAAGATCTTTATGAAACAAATGTGTGTGGTCTTTTTAAATCGACAAAGCTTATTTCCATTTATAAGTTATCTGAAGTTGAATAGAAATCCAACTTCTCTTCAGCCTGGTTTCTCTTTTTCAAAAACCACCATTTTTTCTGGTCTTTCTGGAGGCCTATGTGGTTGATTCTAGCACTCACAAAATGACAATCATTCAAAGTTTGACCGCTACCCCTTTAGCTGTATGGTTTTTGTTATCTAAGTCTCATTCAGAAAGCACCCAGATTCCCAGGCTGCCCTGGCAGCCCTTTTACTCCAACACTCAAAACCAAACGTTTCCTCTAAGCCTCATGTCAAGCACCAGTGGGTTCGCTTCCTTCTACATTTCAGAACTACTGCTGTATCAGTCAGGATTTTGCTACACTCACAAACTGGAGAAAGTCACCCGTGACTTTTATGTCCATGGGGTGATGTTTCTAGGGACGCTGAGGGCCAAATTTGATGAACTGGCTGTCTGCTAACTGCGCTACTTTCTGTGAACACTCGACAAGACACATCAGCTCCAGGAAGACATTAAACAGATGTCATGGGAGGAAGAAGGAAGGTACTCAACGGATTTTGGAGGTCAGGGTTTCAGGGAGGGAGAGCGCCCTCTTGGATTCTGTGGGCCCCTTCACGCTGTCCCTCAGAGACCGTACACTCTTCTGCCGGTTTCTTGCAAAGCGTGCCCTCTTGATTTTCCACAATGCGGCATCACTGAGGTTGGCAACATTGGTTCTCACAGCGGTGATGGCTTTGCAAAAAGAATTAAAGACATTATTCTTTTCCTTGGCTGGCCCTGTGACCCAGCTATTTTGAAGTAATCCATCTGAGTATAGTTCCAGGATAAGAAGACATCTCTCATTCATGAATGACTCATCTACCACCCTCTAAGACCATGATGTGTCTTACAGTAAAAAAAAAAAAAAATCATGACCACTCTCTATCAAGACTATCATTTTCCTGTTTAATTCATGAGGATTGATTATCTAATTTTGTTATATTTTCCTCAGCAACTGAATAATAAGCAGATGGGAGTTTGCACAGTGCAAGTACGTCTCACAAAATTGTTCACAGATATTATCAACATAACAGCTGGGTGATATGTAAAGAAAACAGTCACCGGCGGTTACTATGTATCCTTCAGAAAGGGAGGAAAATTCAGATCTGAGACTAGCGCAATATGCTTAAATCTACAGATTAGCATCATAACCACTTAAAAGTTGATGAACTGAGTACATAAAATCAAGACCTCCTCTTTATTCTTTCATGTGGGCAACAAGCTACAGACCAAGTGTCTTCTATTTATCTAGTCAAAAAAGATGAAAGGGGGGAGCCAAGACTGTCTACATTAAGTCTTTTGTCTTACTTACTTGTAGGAAAAGGAAATTCTTTGTTACAATCCAAATGCAGCTGAGCTTCTAAAGAAAGTGTCTCGAATCTGTTGACAAAGAACTCCCAGCTCAAAGCAGGAATATCTTGCTTAAGGAAATGCAAGAGTAAAAGCTTGCTCAGGATGGTGGGGCGGTCTTTAACCACAGTGTCAAACTGGAAGTCAAGGCAGAGACAGAGACCCTGGAAAAGAGGGATCAGACAAATCTAAGAGTCGTCAAAGAACATACGCCAGACAGTCGATGGAACAAAGCAATGTTTCCCAAAGCAAAATTATTCAGCTGCAATCTTTCTGATCACAAGTATTGGAAGGTAAAATGCATAGGAAAGGTTCTCCTGGTTTCAGAATTCCTCTTCAACTTGATCCAGAACTGTGAACTAAGAGTATGCCACTTGTTTTCTAAGTATTAAATAACATCCTCTTGACCCAAATACCAGTGCTTCTCCTTCCAATTATCTGTAGCATTTACTGAGAAGCATACTTTCACCATTGTATTTTATTCTGTTATTGCATGTGTGTATGTGTGTGTGTGAACACATGTATGAACATTCATTCATAAATCAAGGACATGTGGAGGCCAGAGGACAATTTTTGGAAGCCCGGTCTCTCCTAGAGCGGTAGGTTCAGGGAACTGAGCTCATGTCATCAGACTTGTGCCTCAAGCACCCATACCTACTGAGTCACCTCACTATCCCCCTAAGCTACATTTTAGGACGTGTGAGAAGATAGTCATTAAATTTCCTTACAATCCTAAGTTGTGTGTTTGTAAAATAACAACAACAAAAAAATATTCTGTTTTCTTGGAATGAAAGCAGAAAACACATTTAAAACATTTAAGGGGAAAATAGATGTGTGGTAGCTTACTGAAAATGGCCCCCTAGGCTCACAGGGACTGGTACTGTTGGGATATGTGGCCTCACTGGAATAGGTGTGGCCTCGCTGGAGTGGGTGTGGCCTTGTTGGAAGAAGTGTGTCACCAGGGGTGGACTTTAAGGTTTTGGAAGCTCAATCTAGGCCTAGTGTCTCATTGTGCCTTCCTGCTGCCTAAAGATCTAGGTGTACAGCTCTCAGCTACCCCTCCAGCACCATGTCTGCCTGTGTCCTACCATGCTTCCTGCCATGACCATAGCAGACTAAGCCTCTGGACGTAGCCAGCCCCAGTGAAATGTTTTCCTTTGGTCATCGTGTCTTTTCACAGCAATAGAACACTAACTTAGACAGGGTGGAATATCTATTTCTCTAGTCTATGAAATTTCTTTTAAACGTATTCATATTTAAAAATGACTTATCCAGCTATCCCATTCCCCCATTCTACTATCAGTTAATGAGTAGCCCTGAGCCACTGCCTGGAAAGTCAACTGCTAAGAACCATCTCGAGGACAACTGAGTTTCATAGGCACAGTGTGCTTAGGAAGCACAGCCCTGCATTTTTCCAGGTCGTACACGGGTGGCTTTCTTCTTACTTGGTCTTATAACAGATGAAAACTTTTTATACTCTAGAGAATGAGGGAAGAGGGAAGGGAGAGGAAAGGAATGGGGAGGAAGGAGAGCTTGGCTTTATTACAAGTCAGAGTGAAGTCTGTCTTAGGACCATGACTCTGAAAACGTGATGTTGCCTTTCCAACCTCCAGCTTCCTCAAATGCAACAATGGGAACCCACAAAAAGTTATTCTGAGGGCTAAGGGAGGTAATGCATGAGGGGACACCTCTACTTCACATCCTGGCGACACAGTACTTATTTGGCAAATGCTAACTCTTGACATTACTATTAGTTTTGATAGGAACAATAGAATTCAAACCAGTATCAATGTAGAAAAGCATTAGGCATTAATGTACTGTGTGCCCTCTCCTAAGTCCTCTCATGTCTCTGAGGCTGGCTTTCTTATTACAGCAGAAGGTTTTACAGAAAACAGACATGCAGCCCTCTCCGGGTCACCTACTCCTTGGTTTTGATTCATGATGTTTCATCTGGCGGCATGCTTGCCTTATCGTTCTTCACTTCGATTCCCCTTTGCATCCAGCCTCCAACAGCAGCTCCAGCCCAGAGGCCAAATGAATGGCACAAAATGAACCAGCCTGCTTCAAAAATGTGCCCACCCTTCCCCCCACATTAATAATTACAGCTGTCCACCAATTTCATCAGCGTGTGGGAAAAATATTTTAAAAAGTTGTATCAGAAAATAAAACTATTTACTGTTAATAAGATATGGTCCTGGGATGTTTTCTCCACTGTACAGGAAGAGTTGGGGTAAAACAGATCTCTTCTTGTTTTCATTATAACATAACAAGTGTATTTGAACACACAGAGATCACCAATACCATGTGTTTGCATGGTGCTGTAGTCTGGATATTTCTGTTCACTCCCCTAAAAGGTTCATTATGCTGAAGCTCAACCCCTTGGCAATATTAGAAGGCGAGTTTGGGGAAAAGGACAAAGCCATGTGGACAGGGTCCTCACAAACAGGACTCGTGTCCTTAAACAAAGGCCCAGGCACAGCTAAAGACATTGTCTATGAACAAGAAAGTGGCCCTCACCAGACACTGAGTCCACAAGTACCTTGATCGTGGGCCTCCCAGACTCCAGAGTTACGTTACATAAATTTCTGTGATTTTATAAGCTACTCTGCTTGTGGTATTTTGACAGCGCATGGCTAAACAAGACCATGGCAAAGCCAGTGAGCTGGTGGGACTGACAGTCTGTAGGGCTGATAAGACACATCCCCCGTCACCTGCAGTGCTGGCCTCTTTATGGTATCAAGCAGGAGACCTGCTCTGGTGGCAACTGCGGGGTTGACATCCTCCACAGCTGTCAGGAAGCAGCAGAAGGCGTGTGCCAGTGAGTACTTCAGCAGGTGGTTTTTGGTCACTGAGTGAATATCCAAAAACCTACAAATGACAGCTACTTTTTCCACTGCAATATAAAAAACAAAGGACAAAAGGTATAAGTATATATATTAACATATATCAAAAAATATTATTTCATTTATTTACTTGTAGGTGGGGCATGCATGTGATACAGGCCACGTGAGATCAGAAAACAGCTGTAGGAATTGGTGCTCTCCTACCATACAGTTCCAGAGGACTAAACTCGGGCCTTCGTCCTTGGAGGCAATGGCTTTACCAGCCATTGAGCCATATCGCTGGCTGGGTATTACCGTCTATTTAGCCTCATAAGAACTGACCTCCATAAGAAAAATGATAACATGGGGCCCCTACATGGAGATTTTAAATATCAGCGATAAAGGCCAAAAACGGATTTCAAAACTGAACAACTGATTTATCTTACAACCCAGAGGATTTTTTACATATATAGAAGTACCTGCTTCAAACCTCATCTTCCAGTCTTTGCTGTTGAAGTTGCCGTTTATGATTGTCCAGAATATGTCAGCACCATGAGGAAGTGACAGAGCGTGAAGAAGGAGAGGGACTGCCAATGAGGACAGCTGAGAGAACTCAGACTTGACGACTCTCCACAGGCTGGGAAATCAAGAATAAGCAAAGGTATTACATCATCACCACCTTTGCAGAAGGAAAGAGCTTGATCCCTTAACTCAGTGACATTCAGTCTGTGGGTCTCCACCACTTTGGGGTCGAAGGACCCTTTCACAGGGGTCACCTAAGACCACTGGAAACACAGATACTTACATTATGGTTCATAACAGTAGCAAAGTATGAGTTATGAAGTAGAAAGGAAAATAATTTTATGGTTGGGAGTCACAGCATGAGGAACTGTATTAAATGGTCAGAGCATTAGGAAGGTTGAAAATCACTATCTTAGTTTATGGTGAGATCTGGGTGAAAGTGCTTTGTCTGCAAGACTATAATCCTCCAACATTTATGTTTAGATCTGTTAATATTTTCTGAAAAAATTACTTTTATGTAACAATATTGAAAAATTAATAAAATTTTAATTTCATATATAAATTCAGCTTTATAAAGGAACTAAATAATAAAGGAAATTAATAGCTATATTAAGATGATAATATGATAAGTGGTTTTAAAATTGTTTCTTAGGTGAATAACTAGAAAGCTTCATTGTTTATTTTATTTTTCTAAGAATAACTGCATGTCTGCTCTAGACAGCCTCTACGGAAACTGTCAAGACTGTCACCCAAGGGCTCCCTCTTTCCCCACCATAAGGACAAGCACGAAGCTAACAAAGTACTTGACTGTCCTAAACTGAGGGATTACCCAACAAGCAGGCATAGGACCCCAACTGAAAGCTTTCAGGACCCTTCTCCAGGTCACGGTGCGAACTCTGGGAGCCAGGGATCTGTCTCTCCTTCAAAACCTTCATTGAAGGACAATGTCAACCAAGAGCTGCCAGGCACCCACCTCACCTAGTAAGATGCCAACATTTAGTCTGATCTAACAAGCTGGCACCAGGCTAAGTGACAGAAGAATGGGAAAGGAGAAGGAAGGACATGACTGAGGACACCCAGTGACCACTACCTCCACTTCTGTGTCCCTCGGCATTAGACAAAAACAAATCCGAACGCTGAAACCACCCACCGAAAGCAGGTTAGCTGCCTTCGGCAGGGCTCTGAAGAAGTGTCAATTTTTAGTTATTGATTCCTATTGCTTCCCTCCTGTTGGCTGTTGTACTCTTTCTCACATGTTGCTGGGGCTCCCAACCCAGGCTCTATCTTGTCTCTTTGGAGAAGTCAGCTACACTTAACTCTCCTTAAGATTTAAATCTTCTATTAAACTCCCCTTAACATGCACTTTTTTCTTTACTTCTAAATTTCTCCTTCCATTCAGCATGCCTTCTCTTCTCCATCATTTGTATTTCTACTCTGCCTGCCGGAGCCCGGCGCCTCTAACGCTTAGCTCCACAAATCTCTTCTGTGGGTTCTTTTCTGCTAATCCTTCCCACTGACCATAGATCTATGCAGACTTCCTTTACCAGAACCCCAAGTCTTGGACACCCACTCCCTTGCCTGTTTCTCTTCCTTTGAGACAAGGTGCTCCATGCTGCACCTCTACGGGCCTTGGGTCCCAGAAGCCTGTTCACTGGGTCCCCTCCACACTTTTCAGCTAAAGCCCAGCGCTGACTCTGACAGTTTTCACTTCTTTTCATGGGTCTCCATCTATCACCAAAGAGAGATGCTCTCTTCAAGACTCTCATCCGTGGGCCATGGCCTGCCTTTCCAGCCACTTCCCTTATTCCCCTGAAACCACATCTTAGAAAATGACACCTGCTATCACCTCACTAGTGTTTCCCGTTTCTTGTCCCCCCTCACTTTTTAAGCAACTCTACCACCTCTTTGTCCTCGACATTCCTGCTTTCTAAAAATGCTCTATCTTTATTACATTTCTATTACAATTGAGTCCCATAACGCTGATGCAGATGTAGCTGCTGCCGAGCCCTGTCACGATCACTGACGCAGATGGTTCTTGTTTACCTGTGACCTGTGCAGAACAGCCACTTACCACATGACACTGGATTATTTGTGACTTGTGTGTGCACAGGATAAAAATATGTATTAGTTTATCCAAGATCCTACTCTTGTTTATCATTCGGAGATTGCTATCAAGGCTGCCTTTCCTTCAGCCCCCAACATAGACCGATTTATGGTTCAGGTGAATGTGTGTGTGTGTGTGTGTGTGTGTGTGTGTGTGTGTGTGTGTGTGTGAAAGTACATTTGCCCAGAAGTGGAGGCCAGAGGTTGTCTTTAACTGTTTTCCTCTGTTGCTTTCCACTTTCCTTCTTGAGACAAGGCTTCTCGGTGTACCTGCAGTTCATGGTTTTAGCTAGACTGACTGGGTAGCAAGCCCACAACTCTGGCTTGTCTCTGCCTTACAAAACGCTGGGGTTATAAATGCCATGCCTGGCTTTGGTGTGGATGCTGGGAATCCACACTCAGGCCCCCGTGCTTACACAGCATGCTCTTTGTCCTCTGAGCCAGTCTCCTGAACCCAAAAGTACACAAAATTAAACAATAAAATATCTGGTCACCCTTTATATTTATAATTCATCCCTTCTCAGACTAGACTAAAAAAAAACCCCAAAGCACTAGGATAGTATTACAATAAATAAAAATGAAATAAGTCATTATATTCATTGAATGAATAAATAAATGAGAAATAAGTAAGGGCAGAGCCACAACTGGTTTTGTTGCAATGCATGAAGAAGCCTTTTTAAGGATCAGACTATCCTCCTACTTATAAAATGATCTTTTTTCTGGCATGTCTCCAGGAAGTCTATAATAGTTATTTGAAGGTTCTCAGAAAGAAAGCACCATAAACCTAGGGCACTATTTTATTATTATTCTCAAAATGCCTCTATCTCTTGAAAGCAAGGCTAATGGCACCCAGAGGGGTTCAGTATCTGCCAGCATTTCAAGTAAGATTACTATCTTACAAAAATCACACTTGGCAGCATTATTCGCTACTGGCATTTTTCTAGGGTCTACTATATTCATGATTCAGCCAACAATTGAACATCATAAAATGATCCTTAGTTTACCTGTCTGGCCCAGCAGAATCTAATAAGCAAGCATTGCTGTCTTCCTGCTGGCATACTCAGACAAAATACTCGGAAGCAGAGCTGAGTGTGGTGCCCCAGGAGACAAAAGCAAGGGGTCTCTGAGTTTAAGGACACCCTGATGAGTTACAGGCTAGCTAGGGGTACACAGTGAGACCCTTCCTGCTAAAACAAAAACAGGCCTAGTGGTTGGTGGCACACACCTTTAATCCCAGTGCTAAGGAGGCAGAGGTAGGTGGATCTCCGAGTTCAAGGTCAGCCTGGTCTACTCTGTGGAGCCAGTTGCAGGACAGCCAGAGCTTCTTGGAGAAACCTGTCTAGAAACACCCCCTCAAAGAAAAACTAACAAACAAAACTAGGAAGTTAGTAAGTTTCTTTATCAAATTATTATTCTGAGAGAGAAAAATCAAATAAAATAGAGTAAGTCTTACTCTCATTTTGGTTCTTAAAACTGAAACCCAAAACGTAACAAAAATGTGAACAGCACATACCTTGCAATCAACATGTGGTCCTGGATGTAGGCTAAAAACTGAGGATGGTCTTTCCTCGCAGAGTATAAACATTCTCCGTGCAGACAGAGAATCTTTAAGCAATTGAGCATATTAAAAAGAATGTCTGGCTCTTCAAACTTAGCCATTTCCTATGCAAAGAACACACAGTTATTACGTTTTCCAAAACAACAAATAGTTCCAAAGCCAAACCAAATATTCAAATATTTCAGAAAAATCTACCTGGAAAATGGTATATATTAGTCTCAGCGTTACTGGAAGCTGTTGGTAGCAAAATTTTCTTTCCGTATCATTCTTTATTGCTATGAAAACACAATTACACAAAGGTTAGCCTAGCTCCTTCCCTCCCATCATTCATCAGTTCATCAAGATCAGGAAACCAGAAAGGGATAAAAGGGTAGAGAATGCATTACATGTTTATAGAATGCTTTCACTTGGTTTTTAAATATTATCATGTGCCCACTTGGTGTGGCAGATCACGCCTTTAATCCCAGCATTTGGGAGGCAGAGGCAGGTAGAGCTCTGTGAGTTCAAGTTCAGCCTGGTCTTCATAGTGAGTACCAGGACAGTCAAAACTAAACACAGCAAAACCCAGAGAGAGAGAGACAGACAGACAGACAGAGAGACAGACAGACATCCTTAGCATGTGCCTGTCTATGAGGAAATAGAGGAAACCTTCTAAATCAAAGACTCTCAGCCTCCATTTTTCACAGCAAATCTTCCATGTAAGCCCAGTGTCTTTGGCTGCCTGAACCACCCCAGACTCCGCCTGTGCTCCTGTGGGTGAAGGGACCTGGGACTGGCATGGCATGCCCTCATAATTAAAAGGAGACAGGAAGGTATGGAAAAGAGAGGTGCAGGTTGATGAGCTCCTAAGGAAAGGTTATGATACAGACTGGCAAACAAGGCCATTGAAACAGACGATGGTTTCTAAATGCAAACACTGCGCCTGAATGTCTCATCTTGGGAGGGTCTCTAATCTCTGCCGCTACAACAGGGCAACACTACAGTGTTCATACAGGCAAGCTCGAGTTACCAGGTTAGCCAGAAACCAAAACTAGTAGAATAGTATAGCATAGAGGGAGGAGGGGTTCTCAAGATTCTCACCCCTAGCTCTAGGAGCTTTTGACATTTGATGGCTTTGGGCAGGAGGAAGAGTCAGTTTTCTGGAAGAGTGTGGTCCTTGGTAGTCTGTCCTTCCTAGTAAATGCTCACACACATGAGTACATGCCCTGCACAAACTGGAGTCTATGAGATAGTTAAAAAAAAGTTGGAGCAATGGGGAGGTTGGGGATGGGTTTGGGAGGAGTTATAGAGGGGAGAGATGAATGTGATCAAAATACATGGTAAGAAATTTTCAGAGTTAATAAAAATATTATGTATTTTTAAAACTCCTGCAAGATGGGCCAAATAATGTGCCACTGTAAGTTGTGGCAATTCCTAGCACCAGAGACAATGACAGCCAAATCCTCCTGGCTGATACATCGTCAGTTTCATGATGATCTTCTACTCAAAGGACTTTATACATCTTTATCAGAGCCCAGCTCTGTTATGGTTAATGTGAACGTGAACATACAGCTTTGACGGTAGACATAGCTGTGTCTACAGGAAATCCTTCCTGCAAAATGCAGAAAGAGGAAACACAAAAAGGATGTGGAAAGTACTGAGCCCATTCGTGCAGCACCAAGGCTCCCTGAGCAGGAGCCCAGGACCACCACTGATGGCCACAGGGCACAAGCAGTACCAGTGGCAGGGAACATTGGTCTAGAAAAGTATTACAGGAGACACACGTTATTCTGTCTCATCCATTTTGGTTTTGGACTTTTATATAAGAATCTCACAATGTACTCCAGAACAGCTCAGAATTCATGATCCTCCTGCCTCAGAACATGCAGGCAATACAGACATAGTCAGGAGTGAGTTGGTTAGTTTTTGTTTTTTGTTTTTTGGAGTGAGTTTACAACAGCATCTCGCAAGGAGTCAAAAAGCAAAAGGAGGAAATCAGGCTGAGGCTGAGGCTGTAACAGGAGCCTCGAAGCAGGACCCGGGAGAGGCAAATGTTTTAAAAGGTAGAATTTTACCAACTTCATAAGGAAGAACATAGAGGCCTCTGTAACCACCACATCTACGTATGCAAGACTCAGCAAAGTGAGGCTCACTGGAGAGCCGGGCTGCTTCTGTTCTAAATGCACACAGATGTTTTTTCTTTTATGCCATTATTCTGTAAACAACACGGGCTTTAGAGTAACTCAATGATAGTGCACGTACTTGCCTTGCAGGAACAAGGCCCTAGGTTCAACTCCCAGAAGTGCAAAACAAACTTAGGCATTATAAATGGGAGGATATGTATAAGTTATGAACAATTACTACACCATTTTATATCAGAGCCTGGGCACTTACAGAGAAGGAAGTGCTATGTCCTGGAACCTGCAACGTACCAAAAGGATGAGGCAGGAGAATTAATGAAAATTTAAAACCAAACCTGGGGTACATGGTGTGTTGTATCTAGTTCAGCCTGAGCTGCATAGTATACGTCTACCTCAAAAATAACAAAAGGAAGTGATAATTATTTGAGTTGTGTGCTATGAAATAAAACTGTTTCCACAGAAAGAGCATAAATTATTAGGTCCTGAGTAAAGTCTTTGCTTCCCTTAGGTACAAAGTTTAATAGAAACGTAACTCCAGCTGTGTCAGCAGCTGCAACCACAAAGCAAGGCCATTGCTTCTAAGAAACCAGGAGGCCTGGGTTCCAGCTCCTGCCTCTACTAACCCTACAGAGTCTGATTTCCTAATTCTCTGGCCCTTCCCGCTACAGAATCAGAGGTAGAGGCTACGGTCTTGTTTGTTTTTTTGTATACATATCGAGTGTATGTAATAAATGAATTACACAAGTCATTGGACCATAGGCAAGTCATTTGGCCTGCCCGGGGTTTGGTTTTTCATTGTCGAAGATACACACACACACACACACACACACACACGGAGAGAGAGAGAGGAAATTACATAGGACAGGCAGAGCACTCTAGTGGGAGCTGCATGGGGAGCTTCATCATTTGCCTTCATTTCCCCACCAATTCCCACCCTGATGGAGGAGGTTACAGAGGAAGGAACACGGAGCCTTTACTACACAGAACCAATGAGACACATCACCTCCTTCCAGCTTAGTTTTCAATAGAGTTAATGTGAGTCAGAGAGTCAGTCTATTAACCATTTATAGCATCCATCCATGTAGAAGCAGTTAGTTAGAGCAAGGATTCTTTTAGTGATAATGTAATTATTATGAACCACAGAAGATAGTCCCCTAAGAATGGTTGCCATTCACCAAATAAAGCCCATGCTTCCTGATTCCAGAGTGGACCTTCCAGGGGCAAGACAGTTTAAGATAGTAGAAGTAGAGATTCTTAAAGGCGGCCCAAATCTGTCCCAGGTCTGTAACAAGCCACACAGCATTCTGTTCAGATCTAGGGATGAGGCTTTCCCATGCATGAGGGAACATTTTAACTCTGTTTGAGTGTGTGGAAGTAACAAATAATTCCCCAATTGGTCTGCCATCTTGGGGTCCTCAGTTCACACATCAATAGCCTTTACGGAAATTATAAAGAAGCCATCCTTCCAACCACAAGGGATAACCAGCCCTGGAATGCAGCTAGGCAAGGTGCATCTGTTTAGGTTCTTGGCCAATCTCCCAAGACACAAGTTTTGTTGCCTCTATCCATTTGACTTTGACTACATGCCCCAAGTGGCAACTGAGACTGTTAGCATCCTCCACCACAGCCATTCTCAGTTTCCTCTGCACAGAGAACTTAGTGCACTAGGTAAACTTCACATTAGGTCTCTATATACTAGGAAGAGTTTCTGCTCGTAACAAGATCCAGGAAGATGCTTGGGGTTTGGCATTCCTTCCTAACATGGTAGGAAATGCTTTACCTGTACAATCTACACTAAAGAAGCAGCATTAGACGTTTCCATGTTGCTGAAGTTATATAAACCAGAAATTGTACATCCCGTACTCCCATCAGCCAAGTTCACCTACCAGCATTTTCTGAGGGCGCTGTACGAGTGCCTGGATTCTCTCCATGCTTGACTGTTGGGTTCTCCTCCTCCTCTCCCTCATGCCCTATAATGAACTCAGGCTTGGAAGAAAGGAGGCTATCTTCAAGGCTGTCTGTGGGCTCCTGCAATAGATACAAGTTTCTATGTGAGGGGCCATAAAGAACAGCTTGGTTTAAGTCAGAAAAAGTGGATCAGCTGTTCTATCCAACTTTGTGCTGGCCAAGAGAAGAACCTGCACCAGCACTTATATCCGTGCTACTGAGAGGTGTGCTGCGGTGGCTGAGGAAAGATTTGCTTTCATTAGGTACAAGAAAATAGAACATCGAAACCATTGCCTGATCTCCTTGGACAGCTCCCCCACCTTTCTTTAGTCCCAGAGATCAGCACCCATTCACATCTTATTTAGGAGTTAATGTTTTTAGACATGATGTCAATTCTGGTGGCCTGGGTGAATCCATGTTTTAGAAACAAGAAGTTGCTGTAATATGTGAGTTAAAGGGAGCAAAGCTCAAGTGTCTATCAGCAGACAGATGGATCAACAAAATGTCTCTCCACACAATGGGTTGTTACTCAGACTTTACAGGGTGATACTAATGCATGCTACACCTCGGAGGAAGCTTGGAGACATGACGCCAATCACAAGAGACAAGTGCCGTAGGGACTCACTTAGACATCTACAGTAGTCAATGTCATAGAAACGGTTAATAGGAGCTGGGGACAGAGAGATGGGCAACTGTTAAAAGTCCTGGAGATTGACATATGCCTTAATCCCAGCACTTGAGATTAAATCCCAGGCAGACCTCTGTGAGTTCAAGGACAGCCTGGTCATCAGAGTGAGTTCCGGACAGGCTCCAAAACTATACAGAGAAACACTTTCCCTAAAAACCAAAACAAAAAAACAAGTCCTGGAGATTTGTTGGTTGCAAAAATAATGTTCATATACCAGCAGCACTTATATATATTATATATAATACATGAAAGTTCTTTTTAAAGAGTGTATAACAATCTACACTCAGAAGGCAGAGGCTGGATGAGCCAGAGTTCAAGGCCAGCCTGGACTACATAGCAAGACCCTATCTCAAAAAGCAAGGTGGAGGAATACATGAGGTTTGGCTATTATTTAATTATCTAAGGTGTAACCATTCTATCCTTTTTCTTCCCAGTGTTATCTTTAAATAGCCTCTATGGAAATTATCCTTTAATTTAACTAATACTTTAACCAACAATTATTCTTGAAGAATTGTTTGACAGCTAGTTCAAAACCAACAGACAAAGGTTCAGCAAAGGACGTCAGAAAGTAGTGCTAAGACAGTGGCTGGCGGGGTGGGACTAGGGGTCAGACAGATCACAGACAGGCAGAGAGAAAGAGGAGCTGCAAATGAATAATAAAGATGGGAATTGTACTCATAACCAGAGATAACGACCTGACGGTGGGCTTCTTTGTTCCCACTAGGCCTCCCTGCTGTGGGCCACTTGCCCAAGTTCAAGGCCTGATCAGGACAGTTTGGGATGCATCAGTTTTCCTTGGTTCAAACTGACCAACTCTATGAGAGAAGGCAGATCCCTCAAAGACCCTTGGAGCTCTGACCCTCACAAGCCTTCCTCTGCCTTATCTATGTGTGCCTCATGAAGCCTCTCCTTTGCTCTCTGTCTCTATCTGTCTCTCTCTCTCTCTCTCTCTCTCTCTCTCTCTCTGTGTGTGTGTGTGTGTGTGTGTGTGTGTGTGTGTGTGTGTGTGTGTGAGGGAGGGAGGGAGGGAAGGAGGGAGGGAGGGAGGGAGGGAGGGAAAGGGTGGGGAAGCATGTGTGCATTGTGTTTCCTCACTTCTAACAGAAGCCTCCCTCTCCCTGCTGGTTCTGTCTGCTGTGTCTGAGACCTCCCCTGTTGTCACCTGCTGCACTGGAGAATTTTTCTGCCTTTTAATTCTTTAACTGACAAGGAAAATGAACTTGATCAAGGTCTCTGAAAAATACCTTTGCCAGTTTCACAGGTTTAAGGAGGCTGGCTCTGTTCCTAGGTTACCTCTAAACAAGACAGCCAGTCACATTGTAAGTTGAGTCTCATATAGACAGTCGACTGCCATTTGCTGATTTATCTACAAGCACCAGGGATCCACAAACCTGGTACCATGATCGGACTGGCATTACCAGTCTTGAAAACTAGCCCAAGCCTTCTGCCAGCCTATCCTCCATGTGTTCATCTCACTGTGATCTCCGCTTTACCCAGGAAGAGGAGGGGAGACCTAAGATGGCCAGTTCGGGTGACGGAAACCATGCTCCAGGACAGACATCTCTCTTACTCCGGAGAGCTTCTCTTCCAGCTGAATTTCAAAGAAAAACAGAACCCTTGGTTTCATCTCCAAATCTATATTAAGGTTTTGAACATTTTGAGAACATTAGAGACATGAAGGATTATTTGGAGCGGCTCAGGTTCTCTACATTTATGCTTAATTTTCCTTCTTGTCTTAGATGGCCCAAACCTGCTAGGATGAGAGCTCAAGACAACCCCCTGTGACCCCTGTCCCTTACACTTCTACAGAGACACCTATGTTTCGTAGAGACATTTCCTCAGTGGACTTGTTTTCAAACTGCACACTACTAGAGTCTGCTTCATTCCCTCGCTATCACCATTCCCAAGGGCACAAAGAACCCTAGAAATGCAGAGTTCCCGGGGCATTTTTCCTTTTCCTCTCCTTGGAAAGTGGGGTTCAGTATTTCCTCCTGGTGGGCACTGCCTCCTGCCTTGATTTCTTCGTTATTGCTCTCCTTGGTCTTCTCGTATGACTCTGGCCTCTTTTTGAAGGTTTACCTTTCGTCTTCTCTTCCTCTCTTTTCCCCTCTGAACAGTTGGTTCTTCCCAGAGTTAGAGTACATTACTGCAAACCATCTCTTTCTTTCCAAGCTTTCTCTCATGATACAGGGCAGCTCTTCTTGGGTAGTCAAGCTGTGTGCCAGTTTGTCCCCTCTAAGCCCTGTTGAGATTGTCCCTTTTGTGATATCAGGACCATGTGGGTCTTTTAAAAGGTGATTAGAGCTTCTCCACTAACAAATTAACCCCATGTCTCCTTTGGGTGACATTCTCTAAGTCTGAATTCCTTTCCTGTCTTCAGCTTTACTGCAGCTATAAACTCAGGGCTCATCTCCCTCAAAGGACTCCTGGTCCCATCACCCTGAGGCTGGTCCCCAAGTCCCTCTCCTACGCTCCCAGAGCTACTCTGTTCATATCTTGCTGCAATAAACATCACACTGACTTGTGGTTCTCTGTTTACTTAAGTATACCCTGAGTCACTCTCAGCGTTTTTGTTTTAAGCAGGACTGGGGATAGAACTCAGGGCTTTGTGCATGCTAGGCAGACACTCTACCATTGTGTTATACCTCAAGACAGACCCTAACTAGAATCCTTGGCTTCAACCTCTATTGCCTCACCATCTGTTTTGGTGGCTAGTTCGATTTTGGTTTGGTTTGGTTGTTTTTCAATTAAATTGTATTATATGTTGACAAGTTGACAAGGATGAACCTGGAAGGCATTACGATGTGGTAATAAATGAAGCAGATCAAGCAAATGTAACCTATTCTCACTTGCACGAAGAATCTAAAACATCTAAGTTCAGAGTGGTGGACAATGGGCAGTAGTTAAAGACAATGGGGGTGGAGAGAGTATTTTATTGAAGTTCCCAATGGCTGTGTTAAAAGACATAACATCATATTAAGACAGGACTAAGAAGGTCAATAGACTGCCACTGCAGGCACACTTCATTGCTTATGTGTGATACTTCCAAAAAGTGTTGGATCTTTTTAGAGAAGTAACTTGTGATCCTAAGCAGTCTCTGAAGAAGCAGAAGAAACGAGTGCCTTGGATAACTCAGCTTCATCTGCCTCTGATGGCCTAAGGATATTTTGGTGTTATGTGTGCCCTTTAAAGTATGTTATACAGGAAACAGCTAAAGTATGGAGCCACTGAAATGTGGCATCTGTCAGAGGTCAATTCTTTATGTGGCTTTTCCTGAGAGCAAAGCATGAACACAATCGGAAAAGAGAATGGGTTTTCTTCATTGTTGATGAAGCTGGTGAGTTCCTTGGATCTGTATCCATCACAATCTACTTCGTATTAATTGTATAATGTACTATGTCCACTATTATTTAAACTCCATAAACATAACTGAGTGATAAAAAATCCTTTAGGGATACCAGTCATGTTCTGTATTTGTGAAAAATCTATGAACGGAGCTGCTACTATTCAACATTAGCCACTTAAACACAATTCTGTATCCTGTGTCCCCATCTCCTACCCTAGACGACAGTTAAACAGCCCATCACTCCGGCTTTGCTTATCGTAAGCCATCTCATTTCTTCAACTGCTTACCACCAGCCGGCTTTCGTCTTTGGGAGCTAGCCTCTCCAGGAGTTCACAAGCAAGCTGGTAGCAGAGGATACTAGACTGGCATAAGTTACACTCCTTGGCCTTTTTGTCCTTCTGGCAGCTGTGGGAGCCCCCCCAGGGGGCCTGGAAGACATTGTTGATGATAGAAATAATGTCCTTTGACAGACTGTGCTCCAAACCCATCGTGATGCCATCATCTTGTAACTCCATCTGAAAGACACCAAAGGACAGAGAAAGAAAGAGGGGAAGGAAGAGAAAGAAGACAGAGTTTGGTCCTTAATCCAGCATTCTCTTGGCTTAATACTTGTCGATAATTCAATTACTTTAAAACAATATATGCTTAAAAAGCCATGAGGACACACTGCTTTCTAACATCCATCTAAAAATAGTATAAATACAAAATAAAATATACAGACTATCCTTAAAATCATGAGCCACTATGTATTTAGATTCAAACCTGGAAGAGCAGACAGTGTTCTTAACCACGGAACTATCTTTCTAGTCCCCATGGCCTGGTTTTTTGTTTGTTTTTTTTCTGATTCCAGAACAATCTAAGATTACTTAATTTGTCGTTTTCCAGTTTCTCTCTCTCTCTGAAATATGGTCTCACTGTATAACCCTATCTGGCTCAGTACTCACTACGTAGACCAGGCTAGCCTTGAACTAGCAGCAATCCTCCTGTCTCATCCTCTCAAGTATTAGAATTAAAAACAGGTGCCATTGTGCTGGTGGAGATAGAGACTTTTCATCCCTGTGGTGCTGGTGAGAACAGCACACTTCTCACACAGCCAGGTAGGCACTGTGCCACTGACCTGTGTCCCCAGCCCTTCAGACATTGTCTATAACAGCTCCTCGCTCATTTTTATTTCTGCCCCTGATTTTCTGAGAATATACTTTATAATATTAATATTCTATTATTTTATAAAATGTATTTCAAATAGAATTTGTTTTATTTTCCATAAATCCATATGAACTGATTTGAGCCACACATTGGGATGGGGGAAGCTGACACGTGTGATAGTATATCCTCTCTGGTTATTGTATCCAGAGGCAGGGGATGGAGAGGTGTCTCAGCATTTAAGTGCACTTGCTGCTTCTCCAGAGGACTTGAGTTCAGTTCCCAGCACCTGCATCAGGCTGATTACAACCTATAACTCCAGCAGCATGGGACCCAGCGTGCTCTCGTGGGCTCCAGGAGCACCTGCACTCACACTGCATCCCCACTTAGACACATGCACACAATTCAACACTATTAAAAACCTCATGTCAGGAAGCACAGGGGAATATTACCAATGGGAGCCTGTGCTGTCCTCAGTTTCTCTACTAGAAAGTCACTACAATGATGCATTGTACTCCTGGCCTCAATATCTGCAACTCCAACCACAGCCAAGGACAAAAACGGTTGAAAAGATCACTGCATCTTTCCTGAACACATACAGACTTCTCTTCTTCTTGCCGAAACCATGCAGTATAACAGCTATGTATACGAGCTCACATTGTATTAGGTGTTACAAGCAGCAGAGAAGAGTTAAAGCACGAGGTGGACATGGCACTTTATTAGGTACTGCTGTTTACAAATCCTGGTCATCTCCTATATGAGACTTGAACATTCATGGATTTTGGTGTCTGTGAATGGTTGTGGAATCTCCTGAAGATGCTGAGGGAGGATCCACTTTCCCTTCTGTGATTAGTACATGATGTGTGATTTTTTTTGCTCTTATCAGACTCTCAGCTACTGATTTTAGCCTTGTGGATGCCTGAATCAGTTACAATTGCAATGGCTTCAAAATGGCCATATTCCAAGTCCATCCCCCACCCCTGTACTTGCTGCTGTATAGTCTCCCACTAAAGGAGCCGTTGCTCCTTCTCTACTGTGCTGTTCATCTGACTATACTGTGCTTGCACAGTCACATGATCTGCTAAGATTAGTTATTCAGTGGCTCAGGCTACTCCATGTGTGGTTAGTGCAATCTCCTTCAGACTGACTCTATGTTCTTCTGACCCATCCACACCATTCTCTTTCTCGTTTGTGGTATCAGGACTCAAACCCTTGCATCTGGAGGCCCCGCTCTACCAGTGAGCTACATCCCTAGCCTTTCACAATCTTTTAAAATAGTTCCTTGATTTCTGCCACTGTGAGATTTTCATGACTCTCCGTTGTCTCAACTCTGGGACTGGCCATTTCTCTAAGGAACCCTGGCTTCTTTCCTTGGATCATAGTACTTAGGAACCAAGATTTGGACAGCAGGTGAGAAACAACATTATTTAAATGTCTAAAATTATACAGAGTGACGAGTTAAAAGAAGATGTGTCTTTTTAAACACACATGTAGGCAACATATCCCCACACATATGCACACTCAAAATAGGTAAATAATATTTAAATTGAGCTGAGTTTATTTTTTGTTTTTATAGAAATATTTTTATATTAATTCTAAAACAAAAGTTTCTGTAAGTCAGGCAGTGCCGCTGTCTGACTTGAGCACGCTGGAGTGTGGGGACGGATCCCAAGCCTGCAGCTTAGTCTCACAACAACTCATTAAGAAAATGGGACCAGCAACATCTAAAGAATTTGAGAGCAGGGTGTTGAGGGTTCTTTGGATTACTCTTTTAATTTTCTGTAAATCCAAAATAATTTCAAATTTTTAAATTATGAGGAAACGTCCTTCTCATCAGAGTCTTCTCAACTTTTAAAATTCCCTTCAGAAATCCGTTATCAAGCATACCTAAACTATCCCCATCGCTACAGAAGTCTGCATTGACCTGCCCGACAATAGCAGTAACCCTGCAGATAGTCACATAAGTTGTTCTTAGACTCCTTAGGAGGTTCTCATAGTCTGATGCTGCCCGCGTCAATGAGAGCAAAGAGGCCCCACCCAACAGACAGAATCACTAGGACAGGACCTAACCTGGGAACTAAAGGAATCTCAGGCTCTACTACCTGCTTTAGGAGAAGATCAAACATGAGGATGAAACAATTTAGATTCATATCATCATCTTCACAGTCAAAATCAATAGTCCTTCCTCCTGGGTGCCCAAAATTCTTGAAAGGGCTACGAAATGGACTACGCATGGGACTCCGGAACGGACTCTGGAAGGGGCTATGGAACGGACTCAACATATTGTGCTGACCTCGTCGACCAGGATCAGAGGCGACACTCACCTGGAAGAAAGCACAGCAGCAAACGCGAATGACTTCATGAAGGCTCCAAAGGTTCCCTGGTGTGTGAGGGCCCCAGGGAAGGTGTTTCCTGCTGTCACACTGGCTTCCCCAAATTATTTGTACCTCCCGACATGATATATCCCCACAAAATGTGCATGCAAGGAAGGAAAACACCCACAATTCCACAGTCTGGAAAGGAGTTGGGATCCTGAAGAATGAAGGTGCCCGCTGTCATTTTCATCCTATCAAATGCTGCCAGAATAATCTACAGTGGCTAAACTACTGAAGACTCATGGAAAATGAGAAAATATAAAGGCAAAATATTTTAGGATAATTTTTAGTATTACAAATGTAGACTTCTAGACTGGAAGGGCTTTGGAATGACCCCTGAGATTATAATGATCAAACTCTCATGAGAAAAGATACAATGGACCTGCGGTGCTGGCTGCTTCCCATGTACCCAGCCAAGCCCCTCCCGAGGTCCTCACGGAGCTTTTCTACTCTGCTCCTTACTGTCTCTCAGCTGCCCCTCTGCCGCTAGGTGTCCAGGTGGGCTCAGTCAGTGGTGGGCTCCAGAAGAGCACCAGGGCTGCAGATGTCAAAGGCAGAAATAGTTCTTGCCACTTCTGCCTGCAGTGCTTCTGAGGTCACCACTCTATGGTGACCCCAGTCAGCCATCTAGTGGAGTTCCAGCTCCAGGAAGGCTGCTGGAGTTCTGTATCCTTCAGCCCTGCAGGTACAGTGGTTTGCGGCTGAGCTATCACCGGGTGAGGGTGCTTCATCATCCTTGTATGTCTTTAACCACTCTCATCACTTCCCCAGCAGAATCCCCACTAGACTCTCCCCTTTTTACTAAGAGCAATAAATTCTGCAGTGGAGTCCTGTCTGCCATGTCTGTGTGTCATGCTCAACTGCCATTTCATCCCATAAGGACCATTCTGGCGGTCAGGAAGCACAGTGAATACCACTCAGTTCCAGGAAAGAAGATGACCCCGTATGAACCAGAACGCACATTTATAGTGTCAATTCACCGGACCTAAGTTTCAGCAACTGTAAAAATGAGGATGATGGGTTCTTACAACTCTGCGCTAATGTTCAGTGTGAACATAACACAGAGTGAAAGGCTGTGAGCTTGCTATACAACCTTTGAGTTGCAAAAGGAAGAAAACAAGGTGGGCCACTCGTTCCTACCAGACAGGTAGGCAATGATCATTTTCAAAGAAAAAAAAAAAAAACACTGAGTACAACCTATGATCCCATGACCTCATTAGGATTTCTGATCCCCAGACATCAGTGAGACTTTGGGAGCATTCTGGGGACATGCAGAGAGTTGAGGTCCTTCAACTCTCATGAACTGCTCATGGTCTGAGAACATCCTTGCACCTATAGAAAGTTCTTCAGGTCCTCCATGGACATGTTACAAAGCACACCAGCCATTCTTAGGCATTTTTCTCGCTCATAAAGATACAATTAAAAGACCTCAGCTGATTCACAACATGGTATCACTTAAAGTCCCCATCAATTGACCATGTCTTCCCCAAACACAAAACAAACAAAGTCACCCCAATTCTTCCCTCAAAGTGAAATACTGATCTTCAGTAACTAGAAAAGAATTCCTATTTACCAGGAAATGTCTTACCCCCAGAGGAACCAGTAAAAGAATTACTCTCATTCTCTCAATAGTAAGAGAAGGCAAAATTAAATTAAAAAGAAATGAAAACAGTAACTTACCGATTAAAGGCTATATCAAGTCTGTCTTTAACAAATGTTTTCTTATTTAATGTAATTAAAAGATTAATGGAATGGAACATGATACAATCTTCCCAAAGAGATTTCTAATGATGCTACTTTGGAGGCCAGAATAGCTGGCAAGGGTTTCCCAAGTCTTAACAAATAGGACAAGAACAGTCATGGCAATAATTACCCTTCGTGTTGCGGTGTTCCCTGACAGTTCATTGGCTCTTGATTTTCTTTGATTTGCCAATTCTTTAACAGAATTAACACCATCAGAAAACATACTTATCAAGAGTTGAAGTGGAACCGTGATATCTAACTCCGATAATACCTGAGGGAAAAATCATACACACACCCAAAAAAGTAAATTTTCAAACTCAGAAAACTAAACTTAATTTTCTCTACGTAAACTACTTAATGCAAAGACAGTTCGCTTAGGCATATGAGCACAGCCATTTTCACTCCCAGGAAGTCAGTCATCTTTGGAATTTCCATTTTCCTCTCCACATTGTACTGCATTCTTTCCACTGCCTCCTCTGATGCTGTGGCCTCCTCTCTCCCACGCACTATGGAACCTTTTCCTCAACAAGCGTCATTGCAGCCCTCACCCTGGTCCATTTCCACTCCCACTCCGACTGAACGCTGCATGCTTTCTTGCTTTCCGGTGCAAGTTCACGTCCTCTTGGGGCAAATGCACCTCATCTGCAATGAACTCTCTGGTGGTCCATGCTTCCTTTCTTCAGACAGAATGAATCCACCCTCCTCTCCTCCTAGATCTCCCTTTATGGCCTTCTGGGAACGACTGTCACTTTCGCTGGGTTTAATTACTGGGGCTGTTCCCCCACTGTCAGTTACTTAGAGAAAGAAAGAACGAGACAATTTCTAACTAAGCCTTTAACCGACTGTATACAAGAGATCAGCAAGTGTTTCCACAGCTAATTATTGTGAGTCAGATTTGAACCCTGTCTTGTCCATTCTCTTCAATGTACTCTCCCAAAGTACCGGGCCAGTACTTTGAAACCTTCAGTTGCAGCACCGGCACTCAGAGCAATGCAAAAGACCCCAAATTCGATCCCAGCACCACAAAAAGCAAACTTTAAAAAAAATGTTTCTGCAATCATAATTAAACTATGGATCTGCTCTCATTTTGTGAAAGTGCCTAAACTTCAATTTCACAATTTTTATTTTTTTTTTAAACTGAGTGTTCATTAAATAAAATACCTATCCAAATGCTAGGAGGAAAAACCTGCGTAGCCATAAAGTTAAAAATAATATGTGGTCCCTGAATTTGCTGGGTTTGTAATCAGAAGGAAAACCCCACCTTTCCCCCACCCCCAAAAAAGAACGATTAGAAAGGGAAGAATTCCCAAAGACAGCCTGTGGGATGCTACAGGAAGGAATAATGACCTGGGTGGACTGAGAACTACAGAAAACTCTGAGAGGAGGTAATTTGTGAGGCAGGTTTTAAAAGATTGTGTTCTTTGATGGAGACAGAAGAGAAAGTCATCCCAGGCTGAAGGAACAGCACAAACCATTCCTTCCCTGAGTACTTCTCAATCTTTCAAGGCAAAGGTAATTTCTCTGAGCCTCGGACACCTAGCCAAACATAAGGCCTAAAAGGCCCTACGAGTTTGATAATCTTACCGAATACATTTATCCACTACAGCTACAGCTACATACATGTATCTGAGATTTAGCCACTTATCTCCCCACATATGACTCTAGCCTGCAGCACACTTCCATAAACACAAAGGTTTGGGGGTCTCTGCCAAAGCTCTTCCCCCTTCCCCTAGACATCTAAAGCCCGGTGGCCAAAAGACTGCTCAAAATGGTAGCCTTGTTCAACTCACGTGAAGCCAGAGTAGGGCTTGCTCCTGCACCGTGGAAGGGTATCCTGTAAACCGGCAGCTGATAAAACCAAACATCTCTTCCATGGAAAATGGCAGAGGACACAGCTCTATGTCAAACATTTTGCTGCAAAGCAGAGCAAAAGAAGTGACCGATGGGCACACTCAGAAGACACCTGGTACCACGGAAGTATTCCTAACCAGAACCTCAGAGAGCTAAGGCCTTTAGGTTAACTGCCTTGTGTTCTCATCAGGCACTCATAAGTTTCACCACTTTAAGAGGCGAGTCCCCATCACTAAAGAGAAACGACCTTATTGTTTGATAACATTACATTAGCGTTCATCCCCATATGGGAATTAACAGAAGAAACTATCCCAGAATCTAAAGACATGTTCTCCCAATATGTCCCACCAACCATATCTAAAAATAAGCAAAGGGAATGATGTAAATTTACTGCTCCCCGAGAACAAAACTTTTTCTGAATAGGTTCACACTTTCTTAGCTCAGTTTCTGGTGGCATTTCCCCTGAGTTCTTCACGTCACTCCACAGGATGGTTAGTTAGTTGTACGGACCATATAAGATGATCAGCAGAGTGCCCGGCACACAGCGCATGCTCTGTGGCTGTCAGACAGCGTGACAAGAGTGACTTCACTGAACTACTTACCCACCTTAATACTTCCCTGAATTCCTTTAACTGGTTGTCAGGGACTTCTGTCCGGATGGCCTCCAGCCATTCTGGCATAATGCACTCCCACACAGACTGGCTGATGACATTGTAGGGGATCAGGCAGAGAATCCTGTTGAGACCTTCCTTTAACTGAGTCACTGTGCTACAGGACTTGTCCCAATATCCGCCAACCTGGCCAAAAAAACCAAAACATGCTCCTTACAATTACAGCCAAGGACCTCTTAGAAGGGAACAGGCCTATTAGGAGTCACAGCCCAACGGTCTTCAGAGTGAGGTCGGTGAGAATCCTCAAGTCACCATTAAGATCCATCAGTGCAAACAGAAGTACCTCTGCAGGAAGACATGGAGTCCTTCGGGGAAATGCCCAGCAGCCGTACAGCTGTGTCAGATGGTAATTCTATTTCTTGTCTTTGAGAAACCTCAAGACAGATCGCCAAAGAGGCCACACTGACTTCCACTCCCACCAACAATGCACGAAGGCTCCCTTGTCCCCACATCTGTGCCAGCATTTGTTGCCGCTTATACTCCTGATGATGGCCATTCTGATTGGTGTGAGACTGGATCTTTTTTGTTTTCAAGACAGGGTTTCTCTGTGTAGCCCTGGAAGTCCTGGAACTCACTCTGTAGACCAGGCTGGCCTCGAACTCACAGAGATCCACCTGCCTCTGCCTCCCAGCTGCTGGAATTAAAGGTGTGGACTACGATGCCCCCAGCAAGACTGAATCAAAATTGGTTTGAATCCACATTTCCATAATGACTGGGGCTGTTGAATGCTTTTTAAAGTATTTACTGGCCCTTTGTGTTTCTTCTTTTGAGGACTTCATGCTAAACTCCATAACAAAAAGAAAATGCAGTTACAGGTAGGTCCAGATACTGATCATGGACTGAATTTGAACTATACTGCCGTGGACTTCTAGAACCCATGAAAGTTGTAATTCCCAAGTTCTCCTCCTACTGGGATGAACAACAGTGAAAAATCACTCTTTCTAAAGCCGGATCAGCGTGCAGTTACTCCTGTCCGTGGACAGACACACTTCCTACTGACACACTCAGCACTGCAGATTTTCCTTCACAAACAGAGCCATGGTACAGAGTGCTATTTCTCTCAACTCTCTGTATTCGGCCACAGTCTTTTTTAAACAAAGAAGGTCTAAGGTCTAGCCAGGCATGGTAGCAAACTTCTTTAATCCCAGCACTTGGGAGGCAGAGACGGGCCTGAGTTCAAGGCCACACTGGTCTACAGAGCAAGTTCCAGGACAGCCAGGGCTACATGTAGAAACCCTGTCTTCCAGGTTACAGGAGGTACACATAGCCACATGTGGTTATTCACACAGGTTCCAGTGCGTTGAAGTCAGGTCTTCATGTCTGCCGGGTAGGCACTCCACCACATAGTCATCTCCGTAGTCATTCTCTCACCCTCCTGGGCCAGCATCAACAGAACTAAAATCAGCTGTCCAGATCCTTACTAAGACTGTACATTTTTGGGTCAACAAGATAGTTCAGCAGGTAAAGGTGTCTGCTGCCCTACCAAAGCTAAGCTCCACCTCTCAGACCAGCATGGTAAAGGAAGGAGATAACCAACTACAACAGGTTGTCCTTGGACTTACACACACACACACACACACACACACACACACACACACACACACCACACACGCCTTTGCGTGTACATTCCTTCTCCACCACAAATAAACAAATAAATAAAAGTTGATTTTTTTTTAATATTGAGTAGTCTTGCCCCAAGGCCTACAAGCCAAAGCTGAATGACTCAAGCTTCATAAGATTTATCCACAACAGTCAAGTTCCTTGGGAAATGCACCAAATACCCACAACATCTGCACTGCTCATGGGAAACAAGCGTCACCTGTGACACTAACATCTTCACTTTGTTACTGTCTAGAAACCTCCGTTCCTGGCTTCTTGTCCTCAGAAACAAGGTCTGTGACCTATCCAACCGCAGCTCTCTGCTCGTGAATTTGCTTCCTCAGGCCCCTTTGTGGGCTCCTAATCATGTAAGCTCTGACAAAAGCTCTCCACACATCTGCCTGGCATCTTTGCTGCAGGTACAATTTCAAGGAGGTCGCTGGGAAGGAGATAGGAGAGACACTCAAATTCCAGACTACTGAGAGGCTGTTTCAAATTGAAACCTTTTGAGCTTAAGAAGGAAAAAGAGTGTTTGAGCTTGCTGTGTCTGCCTAAAGCAGAGGATTTTGAAAATGCACACCCATTTACCCCTTCCAAAGAGAGGGTTCTGAAAATTCAGCCGCTCCGAGGGAAGCTGCTACTTGCGCTTAGCTTCAAAAAAACTCAAAATGTTGAGTTTGGTCTGGAAATCTCTACCAGTTCAGGGAGAATTTATCATCCCTCATTATACTCATCCACGAGCCTTCTCTTCTAATTAATCATCATTGGTTCCCACACAGGGCCCACTTTGGGAGAGGAAAAGTTTTACCAACAACGTAACTTCTTATCTCCCAGAATCACATCAAACCCGCCTCCTATAAGGGAATTAACAGGAGCACAAAGAATTCCAACAACTGGAAACTGTCCGTCACATAAAAATGCAATTTTACAAATGAGTCAGTAGGTGGCACCAAAGGCGAGAGGAGCTGCTCCGCCATCTGGATCCCGGAAGCAGTTATTCCTGCAGATGGCTTGTGCTCTGATTTACCCTCAAATGTCTCATTTCAGCACAGTTCTAAACTGAAGATAATCTCAAGGTCTTTTTGAAAGAAAACAAAATAGCTAAAATAAAAATAAAACCTAGAAAATACTCTGAAAAAAAAAACCACAGATTGCTGCCAAAAACTGATTCTGGGCCTCCACCTTTCCGGGTTAGGCACAAATTACATTGTAATGAAGAAATGTGGGCTCTTTCTAGCTGAGCATCTGCAAATAGTGATCCACACTGGCAGCAATCGAAGAGACAGGGGAAACCTGTTCTCCAGTGCAAGGAGCAGGGATTCCAACCGTTCTAGGAACCATTTTTGGCGCTTTTAAACATCATGGAGTAGACTTCCACTGCTACTAGTGTCTTAGATGAGAAGCTGGAGTGGGGGGGTTCCCAGCAAACACGTCTGTTCACTCATCCCAGAAATTAAAGCAACGGCTGAAGGAATTTGATACGCAGGATGACCACACTGGAAAGACAAAGAGGGGAAGCCTGTCTTCTGGAATCCTGGCAAACTCAGAAGATACGTGGGGAAGCGGAAGTAAGGTCAACACAGCGGAGCAGCCTTAGTCAAACTGTGGTCTGGTTGGCCATTACCTCAGTCCTGCGCACACAGAGTATTATTCCTGTTGAGGCAATCAGGGGGCAGTTTCCATCAGCATCCAGGTCATTAGCTAACGGAGCTGTGATGCTGGAAGCAAGGGGGGTCTGTTTCCTATGGAATCCCTGTCCTGACTGAGGGTGTCAGTCTGTCTCCTCACAGGGTGACCTCCTGCAAAGTTCAACTGTCCCTGGAAGGTGTGCAGTAATTACTGAAGACTTCAAGGAACTATCACAGAGATCTGAAAATATGGCACCTTAAAAACTGGTGGCGAACCACTTGTTGAAAGTACCTGTGAGTTGCTTTTACCTTGGTGTCTTTACCCTCTGAGAGGCCTAAATAATTATCAAACCCACCTATCGGCACAATCGAGCAAGTAGATATCTGACCCAAAGAAGACATAGAAAATGAGGCTAGAGATGCCACGCTTCACCTGCTTCTAGTGACCCACTGGGCATATGCAGGCCCAAGATCCATTGCTCATAGTAAAAAACTATCTCGGAGTCATGTCATTCTGTCATAATCTAGAAATACACATAAAGCTTCCAAAATTCTCCTCTTTGGCTGCAAGCCAGAAAAGAACTAGCCCCATAAAAACCATTGTTAATATTTATTTCTTAATAAAAACAAGCCACATCAAGAATGAACATATAAGTTATTAGAGATACCACATTATCCCATCATGCCATTCTTCCCAAAACAATGCCGAAATGGCACGTCACCAAAGCTGCGGGCAGGTATTACACTAACTACTCTTGTTGTTTGTTTGTTTGTTTGTATTTGGTTTGAATTTTTTGAGACAAGGTATTACACTGTAGCCCTGACTAGCCTGGTACTCACTGTGTAACCCAACCCACCATGGGCATCACAGTAATCCTCCTGCCTCAGTCTCCTAAATTCTGGGATTACAGGTGGATGCCACCACACCCAGGTAAGCTAACTGTCTTTGGCTGTTGGCCCAGACGGAGGGTCAAAGATGGCATTTCCCCCAAGTCCTTCCCCACAGCAGGTCCAGATGGATGACCTCCACTTACCCTGGCGAATTCCATGGGTTTGGGAAGAAGGCACATGACCATGACATCAAAGCGTACATCACATACTGTCTTCAACCACTTGGTGACAAACTGGGGCTTTAGCTTTTCTACTAAGCTTCCGACTTCATCATCCATCATGTATGCCGTGGAATGAAACCACTGAAATACCATGGCCACCAGCCGGGCCAGGCTCTCAGTGGGCGTGTTCTCACTGGGTGTGCAGAGGCTCACCTGCGGTAGACACAACCGAGCTCAGTCAGGTTCCACCCAGCCAGCTTTACAAAATTATTACAAGTATATGTAAAGATCAAGAAAAAATTTAAAGGAGGGGGATCAGGGTCCAGATGATTCAAAATCAGAATGTTACAAATGGTTATCACCTATGAGAACTTGGGTCCTTTCGAAAGGCATGCATGGATTGCCACAGTAACAACCCTAAGCATCCAATAAGCATCGCTTTCCTAGTGTAACTCTATTATGTAACCTGAACTAGAAAAGAATCCAAAGGATTTAGTCAGTGAAGTGATATTTTACTAATATCTTCAATGAAAAAAACAACCTAAATATTTCAGTTCTCAAAAGAGCAGATTCAGGTAAAACTTTTGCATCGGTAGTAATTCTGATACCCTAGTGCTCCTCTCAATTGGCCATATTATAAGTCATTTTTAAACATCTATTCATTAGAAACAATACTTTACTGAGCACTTGGTGGGGTCCAAGAATATAAAATTAATTAGTTAGTTAATTAAAGCCTTGTTCTTCCCTTCTAGGAGTTTTCAACAAAACAGTGTCCCTACATAATAAGTTCTTGAAAGCAAGACATGTAGAATCAACAATTAGTTCCCAATTTGATAGTGTTTTTTTTTTCAAAACTGTGCAAGCATAGAAGAGAGTGATCACTATGGAGACACAATCCTTGACTCTAGCAGACAAGGAGAAAAAGCAGAACGGGCTCATTCAGCTGGGTCTTTGCCATGTTTGGTCTCCACTGAATGAACGGTACAACTGACTCAAATGTAACCACTCACTCCACAGCAGCCTGACTAGAATTCCTCTGGATACACAGACCCCCTTTAAATATGCAAAGACTCCCTTCCCTTGTGCACATAAATGATGAGGTATAAATCATCTGGGCCTCATACTAAATCCATACTCGACAGCCTGGACTAGCAACTCTCCCACTGTTTCTTGTGAGGGAGGCATGCTTCAGTCGGGCAAGGCCTTGGCGCTGTGGGTCTTGCTGCCTTCTTGCATGTTAAAGACAAATTCAGTGAGCACTGACAATCGTGAAACTAAAATATTGATCCACCCTGAAAACCTCAAAGACGATTTGTGTCCTAGAGCATCACATATTCGGCCAAAATGCAATTGATTACATAAAAACTAACAGGTATACCCATTGCATTATTATGCAGCCTCTTTCCTCTTGATAAATGATAAAATTATATGTGTACCCGAAATTGGTTGTATAACAAATTTCTTTATAATTAAGAAGAAAGGTTCTCAGGATTCTGGAGATGAGTCTGGGCATGATGACTTCCTAGAAGCATTACTGGATAAATCTAACAGCACTGAGAGCTACTACCCCCCAGTACACCACCCCACTCAGAAGGTGACAGCTAGAACGACGGAGTGGGAGGAGGGCAGCGGAGTGACGGGGTCTCTGTCTCACCAGGAACCATATTCCGAATTGACTGAGCAGCCTCTGGTCGTGCTTGTCGTCGTCCTTGTTGTCGAAGTCGGCGTTGTCCAGGGAGTGGTGGGAGGAGGACAGACCCAGCTGCCGCCGCCGGTTCAGCTCGTGCTCCCTCTGCTCCGCGTGGAACTCCGCTTCTTTCAACAAGCTGCCCAAGAAGGGTGAGTTCGAGTAGGACATGGAAAAGCACATCCCAGACCACGGCCCATCCAGAGCAATGGCCGCATGAGCCCTCCCGCAGTGTGGTCACCCTCCTCTAAGTTAGTGCCATTTACCCAGAAACGCTAGTTTTATTGTCTTGCTATTTTATATTCCCCATCTCAAAGATAAGCCAAGAGACTCCTTCTTCCAGTGGATCGCATGGAGGTTGATGTAATAATACCTCTTCCCTCCGGCTCCCCAACCACCCGACATGGCCAGGCTGGTCATTTGCACCCAGATGAAGAAAAGTCAGCAGCTAGTGTTAAGGCTCTGGAAGGGAGGTTCCTCTCTGGGCTTACTAAGCAAGCAGCAGATAAGAGCAATAATAACTAATGTTGGCAAAGGATTAGCAAAAATAAGTGACTTCATACACAATGTTGGTGATGTAAACTGAGACTCATGCTTTCAAAAGCAATTTGGTAACATATTATAAAAACATCTAAACCCTCTGACCAACTAACCCACATCTGACACTGGGGGTATGGGTATGTACATCTGTGTGTACACCTGCAGAGGCCAGAGAAGGACACGTCGGGATCTCCTGTCTCTGCTCCCTAATGCTGCAGTTACAGGCATATGTGACCTGCCCAGCCTTTTACATGGTTGCTGGGATTCAAACTCAGGTCCTCGTGGTTGTTGAGCAAACGTTCTTACCCACCCAGCCATTTTCCCAGCCTATTCTGTGGATTTCAGCACAACATGGAAAGAGCAGATTGAATGTTGGCCCAAAATGAACCATAGGCTCACTGTAATTACGATCACATAAACATGCATTGAAAACAACTAGGTAATGTACAAAACTCTACGGCTGCATTTTGATCTGTTTTCTGCAATCCTATTTAGTAATCATCGAAATTCTATCATGTGTTTGTCAGCTGGTAAAAAAGAAATCAAAAAGATATAGTCTCTTTTTAAAAGAGCATTTTAATATTGGTTAATCTTTAATAATCTTGTGACTTTGGATAGTATCTGAAAAGAGAGCAGATCTAGACACTGTGGTGTGGCATGCTCTCTCCGTCATCTAATAGAAACCTTCAGCAGCAGCCTGGTAGCCGGGGCCATCTGAATCCCTCAGCCTCCAAGTCCCCACCAGCACCCATCACCTGGCTCTTCTGCACCCTATTACTAACAGGCAGGAAGCAGGGTGCATCTGGGCTCTTGGGCGAGGCCTCCCCCTGGCTAATACTGCAGGGGCTCAAACCCCCACTTTGAAGGGAGCCACCACTTCACTGCCCTAACACCTCCTCTGCTCATGCTACCCTGCACTCTCCAGAGCCTGACAATTATCCATTTCCATTTCTCTAGTTCCTGCTTGGGTAACTGAAGGGCACTTGTGTCTCCTACGTACCTAGCACAAGGCCTTGCATGTAATTGTCATTCAATCCAAATATTTATTGAATTCATAAATTTTATTAAAACATCATCATGGCAAGGCAGCAGAGAGCATGAGAAACTGAAGTGAATTCGCCCCTCTCGGTGTGAGCAAGGAGAGCCTCAAAGGGAGTGTCTTCAGAGGAAGCCAAGGTTACCTGATCACGGCCTCCACAGCGCAGACCAGCTCCTCTGCCCCACACTCCCGCGTGTTGATTGGGGGTGGGGAGGTCTGGTAGAGGTGCGTCTCCGCGGCGGCCCCCACCTCGTTATTGTGGTGATTGGAGTGGCATCTTTTGCAGTACCGAACCGGCCTGTTTCCGTGACGACCGCAGCACCCTGCAGAAAAGCAGGTGACGACCGCCCTTCTGACATGGGAGCTGCAGTTCTGGAAGCAGAGAAAGTCGAGCCAATTAAAGTTGGCTTCTGAGAGACAAACTCTGCTAAAAACCTGGAGCAATCCAAAATGCGGGGTATTGTCTAGCCACTCAGAGGTGTGTTAGTCTAGTGGAAAGGGTAGAGATGTTCTAGAAAGCAATGGAACTGAGTTAGGAAGCTGGATTGTTTGAACTTAATGTTTAATACTTTCCAACAGAAATTAAAAATCAAAGCCTAGAACCTTGATGCAGAGGAAGCACACCCGGAGTTGGGAAGTAAGAAAGTCAACTTCCAGCATAATCCTTTTAAAAACTAGTTTATGAGCTGGGTGGTGGTGGCGCATGCCTTTAATCCCAGCACTGGGAAGGCTGAGGTGGGTGAGTTTGAGGCCAGCCTGATCTACAAGTGCTAATTTCAGGACAGGCTCCAAAGCTACAGACAAACCCTGTCTCGAAAACAAAACAAAAAGGTTATCTACCACTGGCAGAGTAAATTTCCCTGCAGTTCATCTGTCCTTGGCATTCTCCCCTCCGCCATGAATACACCAAACCACACCAAACTGTACCCACAAGGACACACTAAAGTATGGCTAGACCTAGTGACGAAACTGGCCACTGACATCAACCACAGCACAGGGATCCACAGGAAGTGATGGGAATTTGAAAAACCACATCACAGGAAGGAGATGCCATCGCATGGTGGGGGGGGGGGGTTGACAGCACTACCCTGACAAGAGACAGGGGAGTAAGGCAGAATCTATGGGAAGTGATCTGAGAAGCTTTGGGGAGCAGGAAGCACCCTGACATCAACATCACTGTCAGACAACATCCACATGCTTGGCAGAGCACCTCAAGGGCAGACAATGCTGGGCCCTGTCAACTCAGGGTTTGTGAGGAGTGGGAAGCACTCCTGTCAGAAATCGTGGGAGAGTCAGGAGGAAGGCTGCAAGCTCCATCAACACATCAACAATACAGCAGCCTGTCGGTAGGAGCTACCATTTCACCTCTTCTAATACAAGGCTACGGACTTTGGACGCCTGTATTAGAAAACCTCATTTTTTTTAAAACTCAAACCATCAAACCATTGAAGGCCAACAAACCATCGAAGCAAGACAGGAATGTGTAAGTCTTTACACCTCCAAAGTCACAGCTTTTTCAAACAGCGGCTGTGTGCTTATTGTCGTTGAGTTTGGAATATTTATAATATGTTTTTACCAATTTTTTAAATAAACAGTTGAGATGTCTTGTGATTCTTCTATTAAAATTCCTTGGGGTTTTTCCTCTTTCTCGGCACCAGAGTCAGCACTGGCTTTTCTGTTTATGAGTAGTGTAACCCACTATCCTGGGAGCACAACAGCCCTCGCCCTCCCCAGAGTAGCTGGGACTCTCTGAATGAGAGCCTCAAGTCAGGCCTGTGCACCCCTGACCTCCCCTCACAGAAACGGGGATGGAGAGGGCCACTAAACCCTTATCAAAGATCCTAGCCACTTCCTCCTGCACTTCCAGCCAACTACAGGCAATTCTGCCTTAGCTGCCAGTGACATCATGGTCTCAGGAAACGCTCTTTATAGAGAGTGTGGAGTAGTAACTGAAGCAGGGACTCCATCGATTAGGGAGCTGTCACCCACTTTCTTGTGGTGTTGCTGCTTTGGGGTTACCCATGCTCCTTTAAGTGGCCTCCCACCCATTTCTATAGGTAAATCTTTGAATTTTGATGGAATAGCACTTTGATCTTTCGTGGGTGCCCTGTCTTGGGACAGGAGACATTTGGGTTTCCCCAGGAATTGTTCTCAATGACCTTTCTCTTTTGAACACTGAGTTTCACTCTGCAAGCCCATGAGTTCTTGGTAGTTTAGGGATCCCCCTGCTCAGCCACCAACCAACACCACTCTTCAACAGAATGCTATTTCTCAGCACATATTCCTTCTCCCACTAGAGCTGCTGCCATGGCCTGAACATTTATTCCACACCCCACCCCCAAATTCCTCAGGCTGAAATCTTAACCGCCACATGATACTATTGGGGAGTTGAGTCTATGGGAGGTGGGTAAGTCAGGAGGACAGAGCCCTCAAAAATGGAATGAGTGTCCCATGAAAGAGATCTAGAGAAAGCCAGCTATGAAAATACAACACAGGAAGAAGCCATGTTTGAGGAGCAGACATCAAATTTACTAATGTCCTGATCTTGAACTGCCCAATAAATGCTTGTTGTTTGTAAACACCCAATCCATGACATTTCATGGCAGCCCAAATAGACTAAGACAATTGCAATTAGCTTTATATTCCTTTGGCGTTTTCACTGTTCCATAAATAATAGACTATGGACGTAATTTCATCATTAGCCATAATACAGTCCTGAAGTTTAGGTCAGCTATTTCCCCACCCTCCTCCCAACAGCCCAGACACTCCCTGAATCCTAGCACCATTTTTATATTTTCTGATTTTTACTGTAGATTTCTTGGTATACTATGCACAAGAAAGGAAACTTCACGTATGATGATTATCTATGCTCTGTGTGAAATTTTCCTGTGGTTCATATAGCACATAACAAATGCATTTGCATACACAGAGGAAGGAAGATATGCTCACAACCAAACACTCAGCAGTATAAACAACACGGACGGCAGTTACGCCAGGCAGGATCAACCGGTACAGAGCCATCTTGCAAAAGCAACAGCAGGACTTGTAACACCCACTAAACACCTGGTGTAATACCAAGGCCTCAGACAAGTGCTTAGCTGTATGGGCTAGTGTCAAGGACTTATTGTCACCTTCTTTTTCCTATTTCTCTCCTGTAGTCAAACCCAGACACACAGTGATACTTAGCCCGAGACCAGACTCTGCTCTCTAGGGGCATTCTAGTTTAATCTAAAATAAGTACAGTCTTTTCCCCGTCCTCATCTGATGGAACATTGTCACCTCGGGAACCTCAACACACAACACTCAGGACGGTATCCAGACACCTAGTATCCTGGCCATCCCAGTTAGCCCAGCTGGGATGGGAAAGCAGGGAACACCCCACCTCTACCTTTCAACTGACTGTGCTTCTGTGTATGGAAGCAGACAAAAGCAGAAGGACTCCTTGGTTGCTCCTAGGCCACATGACTGGGTGACTGTGTGCTGTGAGCAAGTAAACATCATACAAAGATGTTAAGCTTTGCTAGGCCATGGCCAAGATGAACATTAACTTCAGAAGTGGGAGGCTAGCATCACTCACAGCGAGAAAGTGGCATTGGTGCTGGAGCCAGGCAGGAGGTGGGGGTGCAGAAAAGCAGTCAAGAGCTAAACGGTGCAGACTGGAGGAGGCTGAGAAGGCAACAGGGAAAACTGTAGGCTCGAAAAGAAAGTGACCTGGAGGTGTTGTTCATAGTAGAGTGTTTGCAGAGACAAGAGCAGGGCCTGGGTTCCATCCCCAGCATGGTAAGAAGGAGGGAGCTAGGGAGGCAGGAGGGAGGGCTATTTTGTGGCAATGAAAGACCAGGGATAACTGCTGTCTGCAATAACTCGAAGAAGTAAAGAGCACCTAATGAGACTGAGGATGTGACTGAAGACAAATCCACACACAATAGTGAAAGCACCAGTTCATCTGTGTTAACTGCACCTGGTAGGGTATGAAAGGGACATAAAAGGGACAGACTCACTCGGAAAGGAGGTGCTGGAGGAAACACATGGAAACTAAGAAGCGGGGATCGGCAGCAGGTGGAAGGAGCAGATGAGAGTAATAAATACTCCTTAGAAAACTTGAAAACCATCGCAGAACTGGCTTTTCCTAATGTCTCCTGTTGCATAATAAACCACTCAGAACCACAGCCATGTGGGTATGTGCCTGGATTCTCCAAGCCAAAGGTTCTCACAGGACATAAGCAAGATGGCTGTGTTCTGTGATATCGGGGACTAAACTGCAATGACTCAAACTGCTGGGAACCAGAAGAGCTGCGGCTGGGGAAACTGAACGGTGGAGGACGGGCTCAATGGGGCCTCCGCTAGAGCATCTGCCTGTCCTCTCTGTGCTCGTCAGTGTATTTGCACCTTTTATGTTGCGATGACAAAATACACATGGCTCCCGATATAAAGAAAACATTGTTTTTGTAGTTCTGTATTATGGAGGCTCAAGGGTCCGGCAGAGGCAGTAACTGGGCTCTGATGAGGACCTCTTAACAGATGATCTCCAAACAGCAGAAGTGCTTGAGAGGGTGAGGAGACCACATGGCAAGCCAGACACCAAGAGGGGTCAGATTTGGTCTTCTGGAACAATCCATTCTGTGGGAACTCACTAGGGTTCTCTGAGACCTATGAAGAGCTATGCAAACTGCTCCTAAGGCTCGGTGCTGAGTGATCTCCCCCAGGCGCCATCTCTTAACATTGTCACCCTTGGGACCATTTGAGCCCTTAGGGAAGAAACTTCATCCAAACCATAGCACTTAGGTTCTCATAGCACACAGTTCTTGAGGGACACCCTGGAAGTATTAGCTCAAGAGGACAAGGAGTAAGAGGTGTGACCTTTTGTGTCCCAGTCTAAGTCACACAGAGTCACTTCTGCTACCTGAAGACAGCCACACATTCCAAACCTGGAGGAGGAAACACGGGCTCTACTCCTCATTGAGAGGAGAATCCAAGAACGGCATTCTGACCATGGCATTTCCATTCCTCCTTGTGTTAAACATACTCTCCTGCAAGGAACCCCCAAAGACTCACTGTGACCATTGTCCCAGACACCACTGGTCACCTCTGTCACACACTGTTTGAGTCCTCACCCAGAGAATCCAGGTCCATCACTAATACCACAACCTGCCACTGATGCGGAGTCCCTGCAAGTTTGGAAGAGAACTGAGCACCTGGCAGAGTGGGGTGCTGCCATAATAGAGAGCCACACTGAGGAGCTGGTGTGATGGACAGTCCACACCAAGTGGCTGGAATGATAGACAGTCCATACTGAACGGCTGGCGTGATAGAGTGTCCACACTGAGTGCAGGTGTGAGAGACAGTCTACACTAAGTGTCTGACGTGGTAGA